ACTAAGGAGAACGTTTTGTGGTCCTAGACTGTGGGGCTCAATCCTTAAATCCCCACGCACTGACTTTTCTTCCAGTGGGTCTACAGAGGAGTGAAGGACATAAGTCCAAGAATCTCAGTTGCCTCCTTCAAGACAGTCCTACTCCAGAGCTCTCTTCCTCTCCCTCTTCTGGCTTGCTTGTATGCCCATAATCTCCCCCCTTCCTGCCACAATCCTGAGAACATGCACTCTGGGACTAGGGCCACCTTTCATCCACACTAATTTTCAAAGTGCTCAGGTTTTACTCCATTCTAGAACCCTGTTTCCCAAAGAAGGAACCAATTCTTTGTTAAGCTGGGGGATGGCTATGCCCACTGGCAGTCAGATTCCATCTTGCTCGGGTCTGAGATGGAGTTAAAGCCACAGGGAGAAATTAGCCGGAGTGTGTCGGGGAAGGTTTGTACTCCCATTTTGCTACAGCATCAGCAAGGGCTGTGATGTCCTTCCATGCCAGAAGCCAGGACAACTGCTCTGGATACTTCCTGTGCTACCCTAATTCTGCCCTGTTGTCAGATGATATGTCATGATTTCTGTCCACTCAATTAGTAGCAGTCCCCAGGGCGTTCTGGCTTGAGCACTGGCTGTATCTGAAGAAGTGCGTGAAAGCGTTCTCAGAAGCATACCCTTCCTTTGTGGCTCCTCAGGGACGAGTCTGATCTCTGTAGCCCAGGGGAGTGTAAAAGGAGGCAGAGAAAGTGGGTATTTGGAGGGTGCCATGCCCATCTTCAAAGTGTATGTGCATAACGGAATAACTAGCTAGAGGGGAGCACCAGTGTGTGGAGGAGGCACACAGCTAGCTTCTAAAAACGCTTGAGTAAGCCCCAGTCCCCTAGTGCATCAGGAGTCACCAGAGTACTGTTGGAGCTGCTTTTAGCTCTGGCTCCAGGTGCTCTCCAAGTGTTCAAAAGTATCAATGAGCAGAACATCAGGCAGACTGGAGAGGAATGATGGTGCAGGGTGTCCGCCCCTAGTGTGGTGCTGCTGCTGGGGCAGGTGGAAGGGTGAGGATGGAGGAGGTGGTTGGGTTGGCAGAGACTAGCTGGTATTCACATTGAACTGAGGCAAAGTAAGGGATGTTAAAAATCAGTGTTCTTCAAGGTGGAGTGTGCAGAATGATCCATTCAAATGTAAAAGAAAATTTAAGAGTTGTATTTCTATTTTTTGTCTAAAAATCTCCTTTACTGATTTTTGCTAAATGGTTCCACATAGGCACCCTTACTTGGCTCATGTGTCAGGCATCCATGTCATATATTGGTAGGGAGAGAGCAGGTTCTCCAACCCCGGGGAAGGGGACTGGGCACCATCCTGCAGGATGGTCTTAAAACTGCTGTACCCCAGGCAAAGGATAGACAGATTATATTATCTGATATTTGCCTAAACTGTTCTCATAAAAAGGACAAGTGGTTTGAAAAGGTTTCTGCAAAGAAACCCATCAGTTGAAAAATAATATGAATAATGCAAGCAAAAGTCAACTCAAAAAATGGTAGAGCTAATAAATTCCTGCTGATAGGAAATCCATTATGATGATAATAGTCAGCTCTAATGATGGAGTCAACCAAAAAGTTCACATTTATTTTTAAAAGGCTACTCAAACTATGAATGACTATGTACTGTTCCTTGAGGTATTAAACAATAATAATATAAATATGCCATTCTGATCACAAAGCATGTATATTCAATAACCCTAGAGTATGGAGATAAACCTCTAAATTTTTTCAGAGATTTTCTAAACCATGAAATACTGGGTTGTGTAAAAATGTTTAGAAATTTCTTTTTAGGCTTTTATTTAATAATAAAAGGCAAAACCTAATCAATATCATTGGAGAAAACAGCTATTCTACTTGCCATGGTTAAAAATGACCAAGTTAGCAGAGAGATAATGGGAAAAGATAAAAATACATTCTGGCGGGGTGCTGGTGGCTCACGCCGGTAATCCTAGTTACTTGGGAGGCAGAGAGCAGGAGGATCAAGGTTCAAGGCCAGCCCAGGCAAATAGTTTGAGATACCCTATCTCATAAACACCCAACACACACAAAAAAGGGCTGCTGGAGTGGATCAAGTGATAGAGTGCCTGCCTAGCAAGCATGAGGCCCTGAGTTCAAACCCCAGTACTGCCAATATGTAAATAAATAAAAATACATTCTGTTGGAAGACACACGGAAAACATTGCAAAAGATTTGAAGGAAAGGATTTAGAATGCATGACGCATTGTAGAGGGTGGCCATAGGCTTGGATGCAGTTGCTGACATTATCTCACTTTGTCTTTGCTCTGCTTCTGATGCTAGCATTCACGGAGAAATACTTTCTGAGATCTACTACAATAAGGATATGTTCAGAACAGCGAATGACTTATTTAGTAACACCTGCTCTGGTTTTCATGTACGAGTGTAACCACTGGCGGGCTGGCTGCCCTGTCTGGAATGCAAAGCTGAGGGTTAACATGTGAAACTCATCAGCTACATCATCCGTTTACAAGTGACAGCTGTAAAGTTGAAGCACAAATGCCACAGGCTGTCTATATCATGGTTTATGTGAAAGAAAGAAAAAAAAACTACAGTACAATGGAACTTCATGAAACGTGGAACATGCTGAAAATCCGTTCCAGGACTCAAAGATTTACTGACCACCTCAGGACGAAGTACTTGAAAGTTGTGCAATTTAAAGACGAATTTCTTTAAGAATGATAGAGCATCATCAACAATATTGTAATACGTAACACCTGTGAAGGTAGAGACTATAAGGATGTGTACTGAAAGCTGTTGAAAAACGGGGGTGGGGGTAAAGGTGTAAGGGAGAATAATGGAAGGGATTAAATGGACTAAAGTAAAGCAAGCCACCGTGGGCATACATTGAGACACTCCTTTGAACATTGATTTAGATATTAATAATGAAAGATGGGACTTTAAAATAGGTACACTGTGTGTGGAGGCGTACTAGTGGGAGGGGGAAGGGTGAATGAAGGAGATGAAAGTGAGGATATATGGTTGATGGACTTCATACACTTACATGAAATGGAACAAAGAAACCTCTTGCAACTACTTTAAGTGGGGCGGGGAGGAGGTCGTGGGGGAGAGAAGGTAGGGGTGATCTAACCAATGTACAATATAAGCTTATTTGGAATTGTCACTATGTACAACAAATATATCCTAATTTTAAAAGATGAATTTCTTTAACCAAAAGGCAAATGTTCCAAATTTGCTGGACTTGGCTCTGCTGTGACTGTTACAAGAGTGCTGCCTAGAAAGAAATACACACACACATATACACACACACCCCTTCTTACTATATCCTTTCAGATAGAGGTGATATTTTAACAATGAATTGAGAAAATAACTGTGCTTTAACAGGCTATGGGGGAAAGCACTTTGAAAAGTGGTTTTTGGGCCGTTTCCATTCTCATGTGAATTTAATACTAAAATGAAATGGTCAGTGTCACCTTTACCCTCACCATCACAACCTGTAAAGTTTAGAAGCGTATTTAAAAAACCCATTTTACAATGTTTCACATGCACAATCTTGAGTTTTTCAATAAACCATCCTATTCGTTAAAAAATATTTGCAAGAATAATTGATGAAAATATTATTGAAAATGGTTTCATGGACAAAAAAGAGTTTTCCTGTGGAATTTCACATTTGCAAAACTGGTAAATGGGATTTAAACAGTGAGAATTCCGATTTAGTAAGTGCAGTCAAAGAGCTCTTCTATTTATCTTTGTGGGATATCGTTTTTAAAATAAATAATAGTCACTAGACTGGGTATTGCATTAATTGAACTTAGAAGCGTACTTTCTAGTCTCATAAAATGTTACTTAGAATTTAGTAAAACCATTTTAATCATGTTACTGACTAAATAGGTTATTGCAAACAACTTTAAAGTGAAAAGAAAAAGGTAATTGAAAATTACTGCTTCATCTTTATTACACCCTTTAACGATTTTTAGTGTATCTATAATATATATTAATGCAATCGCATGTGCATATCATTTATAAATAGATAAATTGTACATGTCAGACTCAGAGGTAGAAGGAATAAAACTCGGTGCTCCAATGAGACAGCTAAGTGAAATCACAGTAAGGACGCACAGTGAAGCTCCCTAATAGTTTCCTCCACCCCTTGGTGCCTAATTTGGTGAAAAGGGACAGGGAGTCAAGGACAGCTCCCAACTGTGGCTTGGGGAGTGGGTGTGTGTTGTGGTGTCATCTGCCGGAGACTGGAGATACAGGGTTCTGTGTTCTGGAGGAAGGCGATTAGGTTCTAGACCTGCTTCCACGGGCCTGTACTTGAGACGCTGGCCCTGAAGTTACCATCTGCAGCTCTGGGGCAGTTTGGGCTGAAGGTGAAGTTCAAGAGTCGTTAGCAGACAGTGGGAATGGATGAGATCCCGCAGAGTGAGCGAGGGGACTGGCACAGTCAAACACCAGGGAATAGTATAAGGAAAAGCCGGGCTGTGGAGGCCGAGAAACCACGGGCATCCAGGTGGGGGTGGGGGTAGGGGCGGGAGGGGTGGAAGGTGTGTGTGGGGGGCGGTTGATAACTTTGGAAACGTGCGCTCCGAGCATTGCAGGAAGGAAGGCGTGGCCAGCAGGCTGGGACGAGGTGAGCCAGCTGGGCTGTGAGGCACCTCCTGGCGTCGGCAACCAGGAGGTCATTCAGGACTTTGAGGGGCTGTGATCCAAGTGACCACACGGACACCTGGGAGAAAACAGATGCTTGCGGGGCAGTTCAGCTACAGAGGTAAGTCACCTGTGTGAGGGGTCGAGACCTCCCAGAATCCTGATTTGGAAAAAGTCCCGGTGGGGAGAGGAGGTCCGGCAAACCCCAATCCTGGGGGAGCGGAGTTGCAGCCCAGCTGGTGACAGCAGATGCGAGGCGCGGGGATTCTGGGTGGCATCTGAGTCCGTGCTGCGTCGCGGGCCGGGTGGAGCTCCGCTTCCGGCCGAGGGATCGGGCGGCCGCCGCGCCCTGGCGCTCTCAAGTTTCCTGTTGGCAGCGCGGCCGGGCGTTTCAGGTAGCGGCGGACAGGCCTTGGGTAGCCGGCGGCGGCCCGATCGGCGCCCCACTGTTGCCCGCTCCTCGCGCTCCTCCGCTCGGCGCCCAGGTAGGACTCGCCGGCCGCCCGCTCCTTCTCCGCCAAGGCGGCCCTCGCTCCTCCCGCCCTCCGCCCCCCACCCACCCCCGCCGGGGCCCTGGAGCGGGGGCTGTGTCGCCCTGCGCCCTGCATGGCTCGGCCCCCGTCCCTGCCGCGGCCCCTTTGGGGCGCGGGCTGGGAGCGCGGCCTGGCCGGGTTCCTGTCCCCGTCCGGGCCCCGACTCCGGCTGGCTTCAGTGATCGCATCCCAGCTCCGCTGCGCTCGCCGTGAGCCCTGCGCTGAGCGTCACCTGCGCTCCAGCCCTGCGGCCGCGCCCCTTGGGCCCACTGCATGGCGCTGTCCTCCCAACCTGGTGAGTGCTTGCGATGCTGCACCGCTGACCTTGGCCCGCGACCTGTGGCCCCTATGGCCCTTGCGGCCCAGTCCTGAGTGCTCTGGGTCAGAACCTAGGCTGGTGGCTTCCAGTTTACAGAGGAGGCATTGCTGACCTCCACCCCCTCCACCCGCCCTGGATCCCCAGGCTCGCTTCTTGCCCGGACCTGACTGGGCTCCTGCCCCTGTTCCCGAGATGGTCTGGGCTCTAGCGGCCTCAGGTGAGCCGGCAGCACCCAGGTTTCCTGGCAGCCTAGATTGGATTTGCAAGACTTAGGGGAAATTAAGGGATCTGGGACGTGCTGTCTCTAAAACACCAGGACAAGTTTCTAGGTGCTTGAGTCTGTCTGAAGTGGACAGCTGAGGTGGACTTTTACCTGGAGACAAGGGGATGGACAGGGGTGATAGAGCAATGAATCTTTTGATGTCTCATCCTACCTCTGGCTTTCTCTGGGCAAGGGACATGCATAAGCAGTAGTCTGCTTTCTGCCCTTGACTTCCTGGTAGCTGCTTTGCCAGCACAGCTGCTAATTGCCGGATTAGGCTGGCAGAGGCCTCTCATGTGAGTTGAGAACCCTGGAGTAGGAGAGTATGTGACTGGAAGCTTTTTGACTGGCAAATAAGCGAAGGAGTTGGCTGAAAGCTGGCAGCACAAGGAGGGATTTCAGCATGGGCCCGAGCCCTTATTGGCTATCCCTCTGGATGGAGTGATTAACATTTGGCCATCTTCAGTGAAAAGCTGACTGCAGCTGGAATCCTTCAAAGAGAAACTGCTCCCCTGGCTGTGAAGCATCAGTGCTGAGTGGTAGTGGAGCTACCAAGCCAGGTGGACAGAGCCTCTGTCAGCTCCCACAGTCTGGTCGCCTCCCATTTCTCAGAGTGTTGACAGCAGGTTTGATGTAGTTGGCCTGGACTGGCTGCAACTCTGAGGGGTCATCAGATGATGACTGGAGGGCACTGATCTCTCCAGGAATAATGGCTCTGTGTGGGTGGGTTGCTGGGAGACTCTGTGACCTGTCAGCCCCATCCTTAGCCCAGCCTTACTCCTGAGATAAGGGATGAGCAGGACTCACCTACATCAAAAAGTTCTCTGAGATACAAATTTGTTTTTCTTGCCTTTACACTTGCTGCATTGCTCTTCAAATGGCCTCAAAGTCAATCTCAGATCTTGATAATATCATTGGCCGAGAAAACAGGCTTAGGACTAAGCAGGGAGATACTTTTCTCTCCCCAAACTGTTTCTTGGCCTTCCTGGTTCTTTCACCATGTATATTAATCTCTCAGTTCTTCCACGTGCTGGCTTCATTTCTAGGACAAGAAACAATGGCTTTGTCTTTTGATACACGGTATGAGGAACTAACTATGGCATAGGAGGATGTGCTCATGGCTGGAGTCGTGGTTATGCATAGTCACCAAGAAGTAGCTTCATAGAGGAGATGGCTGTTCCTCCTTCTGAGCCAAATTCACATTTAAACAGGGCTTCCTTGTTCGTGCATCTTGGAACTTGGGAGAGTAACAGGCCTGTAAAGGTGCTTGATAAATGACGTTGAGTAAACGGATTCAGTGTCTATATGAAATTTTGTATCAGTTTTCCCAGTTAGGTTCTCTTTATATGATTATGAAGATAATGATGTTGACAGACAGTACTTATAAAGCAAGTACTCTCAGCCAGGTACTAGTGTGAGCATACGCTAACTAATTTGTCATGGCAACCCATGACATAGTATGGCTGGTATTTTTATTATCCTCCTTTTATAGGGAATAAAACTGAGCTACAGATAAATATAGTAACTTGCTTAAGGTCATGCAACTAAGAGGCAGAACAGGATTCAAACCCAGGTCGTCTGGCTTGAGTCCATGTTCTTAACCATATACTGTACTCTTGAGATTGCTACAGGTAGATTCCTCTACTTAGCGCATCCACTCCTTCAGTTTTTATGCAATCATTTATTCAAATATATATCAAATGCCTACCATATTCCAGGCATGGGGATATAATTATGAATGAGACAGGCAGGATCTGTTGTGGGGTGGTATTTTTCAGGTGAAGCTTCTTTGCCCAACTTCTTGCATGAGTCATGCACATCTCAGAAATGAGAAGGAAAACGGCCCCCTATAGGCTAGCCCATGCCCTTGTGTTTGGGGAGTGGTACCTTTCTCCATAAGACAGTTTGATTCAGGCCTTGCCTGTCTTTTAGGGGCACTTAAGTGATAAAAGTGGATGTTATCTGGTCTCCTGGGTATGAGATGAAGGCTTTGGGTCCAGTTATCATGGATTATCCTGATGTCCAATCAACAGAGAAGTAAGCCTTTTAACCTGGGACCGGTTCTCTTCAGTCCAGGGAGACATCTAAGCCACAAGCAGCTCAAGGTGAATCATGAGGTCCTGAGCAGAGCTTGCTCTCCTGAGACAGAGCTGGGTTTTGCTCTAAACTGCCCCTGCTCTGGAGGGTGTTTCATTGTTGGCTCCAGCAGGACGATTGGCCATTGTTTTCCACACTTGTCATCTGAGCAGGACTGCTGCCCATCTCTGTCTGGTCCTGGTGGAGTGGGCCTCACACCCTTGGCTGGGGCCCAGGAAGGCAGTTTTCTCTAGGTTGGAAAATGAAGACAGAGTGGAAGGCATTTTCCAACTCCCATACCACGGGATATTAATAGGTACTTTTTCCTGTGGTGGCAGTGGTGGCACGGTCACGTAAATGTATTGGGTTAAACACAGTTAAGCAGCTTTCTTTGCTACAGGACTTCACAGTTAACGAGTGTACTAGTGCAAATTGTGATGAATCCCGTAAGGGACTGTGGGATGCTGTGTTATCCAGGCCTTCTGCCCTTTACGTTCTACTGACTACATTTTGTTTAGACTAAGGCTGTTTAGGATCTTATTCAAGGTAGAGAATAAAATGACCTGAGTGCATTGGACTCAGGCTGGGAGACTCCACTGCTCTGCCCTCCATACTGTCCTCTTCCCCAAAACACCAGCAGAAGAAATCATTTGCCCACCTCTCTTCTGGCAGAACAATCCTAAGCGCTAGAATTTTTCTCTTGTGCTGTAAGCCTGTTTAATTATTTAGTGAATAAATATTTCCCTCCTTCTAGGTTGCTTGTAGCCTGCTGATCTCACTGTTGATGAAACAACTGTGTGGACAGGTGGGCTGTAATCTCTGGGTGGCTAGAGCCCTGCAGCAGATCATGTGTCAACCTTGTATCCCTGCCCCTGTGCTCACAGGAGTTATGATGTGGGCTCAGCGAGGCACAGTCTCGCGACTGGACATGAGGAGGTGACTCAGGTCCAGGACAGGGCTACAGCTAGCCTCCTGGTAAACAGCTAACCCATCCTTTCTGGATTCTTCTCCCCAGGATTTCAACAGCACCACAGAAATAGCCATTTTGCTCACGGTTATTTCCCAGACCCACACAGTTTGTTGAGGTCACTGGAAGGCTGTGTGTCTCTTCTGAGCCTTCCCATCCACCTGAAGGGCAGATGAGGACACAGAGCTTTGTGCCTGTGATGCTGCTTAGTCCACCGTGCTTGCTTCTGAGGGTCATTTAAGTAGGAGTGTGGCGGAGTCTAGTCTGCGTTCAGCTCTCAGAGTGGAGGCCCCTAGGAGCAGCAGTAAGAAGGGGAGGAGGTGCATGGGTGGGTCAGGTGGGGTGTACTTCTGTCTTATGTGTTTGTGTGTATGTGTGTGGGGTGGGGTCTGGTAGACTTTGTCAGGCTGCTCAGTCACTGTGTGATGTGTGGAAAGAAAGGAAGGTGTGGAAGGGGGCTGTCCCTTTTGTCCTCTGCCCTTAGGCCACCTCTCTCCCTGAGGCTCTGTCCTTTCCTGGGTAAGGAGGAAGCAGTTTGTGGTTCTTCCCTCTTTTGGAGGGGGAGGGGAAGAAGGTAGTATTGGCAATTGGGCTCTGAGCTCCCTGTCCAGCTCTGGGGTGGCATCAGGAGGGTTGCTTTCCGGCGTGGGGTGTCTTCTGAGAGAAGGCAGAGCAGACCGTGCCATAGATTAGTCCCCTTGGTGTGGCCAGGGTAGGCATGAACTGTGGTTCAAACCGGAAGCAGCAAAGGTGATGGTATCTCTGGTTGTACTCGGCTTTCAGGAGGAGCCTGGGCGTTGTGTTGGAGGGAGGGGTGGCTTATCTCCTGTGGTTGCCCAGGACGGCTGAGTAGTGCCGAGGGCTGGGAGCAGGGCCAGGACCAGGCGTTCAGGATACCACAGCCATTTTGCCTTGGATAACCAGCATCACCTGGGGCCTTGAGGACTCTTGGAAATTTTCCACTTCCATTTTGTATTCAGGGGAGAATTTCCAGCCCAGACTTTTCCTGCTCCCAGATATGCAAAGCAGAGACCTCCCACCCCAGTCTCGGCAGGCGGGACCCAGCTAGCTGCTCTTCCACTGACTCAGCTCAGCCTCCAAGGGAAGCACACAGCATCTGACCCCAGCGTGTCGCCTCTGTGGCATCCTCAGAATCAGTCATGGAGACTCCAGCACCAGGCTCAGGTCTGTGTCATGGGTTCTGTCAATGAGTGGCTGGCAAGAGCAGGAAACGGCTTTGTTTGTCCAAGGAGGGATTTCAGTGGCCCTGGGTTTCTTTTCTGCAGGGACTGAGGTGCCCTGCACAGTTATCCTTTGTTGAAACTGGTAGTGTGTTAGAACTTTCTGACTTTGGGACACTTGTTCATCCTCATCAGAGGGTGTTGTCTGTAACAATGAGATAAGCTGTATCGCTCACAGACTGATGCCCAGTGACTTCACAGTTAAGCCTCGCAAGCCTGCTGGCTTTATCTGACAAATGGTTGAAAAGCAGACATGATCAGGCAGCTGGAACTGGGCTCTGTTTGGCATTTGCAGGGTGGGCTTTCCTTGGCAGGCCTGGCCTGGCAGGTGCTGGAGGTCTGAGAGGGGAGAGGAGCTCTGGAGGGCAGGACTAGCTATTTGTCTAGGATGGCCAGAAGACATCAGAGGTACGGTTGGCTGCAAGGCCCACAGAGGCAGCATAGCTCCCACCTGCATTACTGGGTCCATAACTGAAGTCTTCCCCCATTGCTTAAGACACTATAATAGCTCTGCAGGTGACTCATGTGAGTTCTGTAAAGAAGAGGGTCCTATTGAGAAAGGCTACTCTGTGATCTTGGAGACTTCCATGTATTGTGGATCTGGGTTGGAGAGGCTATGAAAGGCAGCATCTCCTCCATAGTTGACCACAGGCCCTGCTTTACTAGCAACAATTATGGGCTTTTCTTGGTCCCAGTTTGAGAAAGGTTGACTTAAGCTATATAAGATAAAGAAAAGGGGAAAGATTATTTGTAGAAACATGAATTCTGAGAAGTAGGTTTTGTTGACTTGAGCAAGCTAAGAGTGCTTCAGGGACAAAGATGGCAGACTCTGGTGTAAGACATAAAGACATAGGGACCATCCCAAATGCTCATTCCTGAGGGGGCCTAGTGAGGTGTGTCTCAGTCAGGCTGTGTGCATTTGTAGGGATAGAGGAGTAGGAAGGTGGTGGTGGGCAAATTCCTTGCAGGGTAGGAACTTAGGTGGAGAGGGTCTCAGTGATATCACTCTGTTTGGATTGGCCTGTTCCCATGTGGCAGGAGAGGGCCCTAACTGCCAAAACCTGCTAGAATCAGAAGGTTGACTTATTTCTCTAATTTTGTCTTTCTATATTAAATCCATTCATTTTCTTTATATTTTTGTATTTATTAAAAATGATATTATGACAGCATTTCTTGTCAAAATAAGTCATCCCCTCACATATAGGTAGCAGTGGTACTGATCATTTTGAGTGTTCGTCTTTCTTGCAGCCATAAGGGGATAAACATTCACATCATTGTAGTCAAAGCATGGGTACAGTTTTATGTATTAAATTTTGTGTTTACTATTATTTCACAAGATTTAAAAAATGTGGTGGCAGGGGACAAAAAAATGTGGTGGCATCATCATAATTATAATATTAGTTGCTTAGCAATATTTTCAAGTGTGTTGCTCTAATTTAGACATTTAAAAGCTCTTTAAGGTGAACACCTTTGTACCTTTTCTTTCATTCAGATTCTTATAGAGATTTCTGGAAGTGGGGCTAGTTGGTCAAATAGTACTTCATGGGGTATTTTATGGTGTTAGCTACCCTTTGCCTGGGCCTATTTAATGTCCACGTCTGAGATATGATGTGAGATTTTGGAACACTGCACTTGACCAGTGGACTTGGTGTTGGGATCCAGGTTCTAGCTTTGCTGCAGCCTGACAGAGCCTCCTGAGCGTGGTTTTTTGTGCTTGTGGTTCCAGCCTTTTTCTCCCTTGTCACCTTATTCTTGAGCCTCTATCCTGATGGGCCCTGGCTTCCCCCTCTCTCTGCCATCAGGACATGGAAATCTTCAGAGCCAGGTCTGTTCCTCTGCCTCTTTGCAGAGGCCAGCCCTCTGTTGTCTCAGGCTTGCTCCTGACCTACAGTTTGCCTGCTGAGGTTCTTCTTCCTCACTAGTTCCCTCCCACTCATCTCCCTTAGGGCAGCAGAGGCCCAGGAGAGCATGTCCCTGGGTGTGGAGGGAGGAGGAAATTGGTTTTAGAGTCAAGGCCCACAGACACAACTCTGACTGTCCATTATCAGCTTGCTTTCCTCCTTCCTGTCTGTGTCATGAATTAGCTCCACATGCTGCAGAGACCAGGGCAGTGAACAGAGCCTCCAGCACCGGAAACCTCTGGCACCTAGAATTATGCCACTCAGAACTGAAAGGGCCTAAGAGGCCACTAAGCACCATCCCTTAATCTCACAGATGAGAAAATTGTGAAGGCGGAGAATGACTATCTCAAGATGGCCCAGTGAGCCCCCACCCCTGTAATTGCTTCCTCTCCCTGCCAGATGGTAACTAGGTAGGGAGTTACCATCTTGTCTATCTGGTCAACAAAACCACTTGCCTCTTTAACCAGCCTTAAAGAAACTGTGGTAATAGGTGGGTAGGAAACTCCTCTTCCAGAGCTGTTCCTGGAGGAGGCAGCTTATGAAAAGGTGACAATATTCACCCATTGCATAAGCATTGTGTTAGACTGGGGACCCTGAGAAGACCCTGTCCTGCACCCAAAGGGACACACAGTAGTAGCACAATGTGGTAATTAAGGCATATTTGAGAATTGGATGCCTGGGTTCAGGTTCCTGAGTGGAAGCTCAGAGAGGAAAGGGACAGAGAAGAAAAAGGCCAAGAATAGCATAGATCTCTCCCTACTTATTGCAGATGTGATCCTGGGCAAATTTGTTCTCTATGCCTTCATTTTCTCATCTGTAAAATGGGAATGTTAAGATTAACAAAGTTAATTAGTATAAAGTGCTTGGCAGATCATACATATTAAGTTCTATTTGCCAAAAAAAGAAAAAGAAAAGAAGAAGAAAGAGAGAGAAGGAAGAAAGAAAAGAAAGGAAGAAGCCAGGTGATTAGGAAAGCTTCCAGGTTGCAGAGAAGTAGATAAGGAAAGCTTTGAGGAAGTGAGTTTTCAGCTGGGTAAAGGATATCTCTGTTCAAAACCTTATTATTTGCTATGTCTTGTTAGATGATTCTGGAAGGCTTGGGGGACCTTGGAACTGTGATCACAGATTCCTTCTTTCACAGAAGCCCTCGTTCTTGAAATGAAGATGCAGTGTTGTATTCCCCAGGGCTGTTCTGTAATCCCATGGGACCTGAAGCTCACTGTTAACCCTGGGAGCCTTTGCCTTCCATCCTAGAAGAGGCAATGTGAGGTTTGGTTGTGTTGCAGCCCTGACAGCCTCTTCACTTGGAGTTGCACGTTCCCGAGGTCAGGAAAATGGACACACTTAGTTGAATAGCTCATTCTTTGACTTGTGAACATTTGCTGTCTCCTGAAATGTGAGCTGCCTTGTGTATTTCACACCCAGTTACTTATAGAGTTTTGAAATTTGGCCTGCTGGCGTTGGTCTGGGAATTTCTGAGTCCTCAGCTGAGCCAATCACCAGATGGGACCAGACTGCATCCAGAAGGGGACCTCAGGCATCCACTAAAGCATTAAGGCTCATGCTTGTTCTTTCTTTGCTAGCCGAAATGCCTCGCCAATTCCCCAAGCTGAGCATCTCTGAAATGGACGAGCAAGTCCGGATCCTGGCCGAGAAGGTATTTGCTAAAGTGCTCCGAGAAGAGGACAGCAAAGATGCCCTGTCCCTCTTCACTGTCCCTGAGGACTGCCCCATCGGGCAGAAGGAAGCCAAGGAGCGGGAGCTGCAGAAGGAACTGGCGGAGCAGAAGTCTGTGGAGACTGCGAAAAGGTTTGTTCCTGCATTCAGCTGTCCTGTGTACAGCATTGTGTGTCCCAAGGTGGGACATCTTAGGGGAACTGGCATCTCTGGGGCTGTTGATTTATTTCGTTTTTGTTGATTTCTTAACTAAGACCACTCAACTTATTTACTGAAAGATATGTTAGTGCCTCTGTTTGGTTGAAAGTTAAAAAAAATCACTCTCTCTCTGCTGCTGTTTTAATAACAGTTTGTGTGCATAAATACCTACTACTTCCAAATGGTATTTTGCTTTTCTTTTTGGGAATTGAGGACTTCTTGGAAAACACCAATTTTACTTGTTTGCATTACTTGCTTACATTCGTTTTGCCTTATTTGTTAATGTGGGTCACTATCTGCCAGGTGCTGTGCTGGAATTGTAGATGTAACAACGTTCAATATAGATCAAGTCCCTGCCCTCTAGAGCTGGCAGTGGGCAGAGACAATAATTAAGTAACAGGACAAGTTAATAAAAGAATGACAAATTATAATAAGTGCTGTATCAGGCAGGTTCTAACAAACAAACAAAAAACAAACCACAAAACAAAACGGAAGCCACTCAAATATTGGAAATAGAGGTTTAATGCAAAGAATTGGTTATGCCAGTCAGAGAGATATAAGAAGTAAAATGGGGGAGAAACAGGCACCCCCAAGATGGGACACAGTAGATGTGGCTGGAGCATGGGGTGGGGTCACCCTGAGAAAGTTGAAACTGTGGGGGGCTTTCCAGTGGAAACTGGAGTCAAGGAGGAGGGCAGCAGCAGAGAGTCGCCTCTCCAGGCAGAGATGGAGACAGGAAGTATCATACCTGGATTTACCCATTCTGTACCTCCCAGCTTCCCCCAGTGCCTGCCACTGGCCAAACCTAGTCCAGAAACCAACTGATACTGCTGGAAAACAGAGAAAACAGAGGAGAAGAGGAGAAATATACATGGGCAAACAGGCCCAGGACCAGCATGAGAGAGAGAGAGAGAGAGAGAGAGAGAGAGAGGTGTATCTTTTTAGACCAGGCAGTAGAAGGTAGTCTCTTTGAGGAGGTGATATTTTAGCTGACACTTAAAGGGTACAAAGGAGATATCTGTGGGTAGAGTTGGGTGGCAGCCTCATAGGCAGAGGTTCCCAAGTACAAGGAGGCCCGTGTAGTTAGAGGTCTGTTACAGGAGGAAGGGCCCTGCCCCATGGCTAGAGGGGAGGCAGGCCCTGATCCCAGTGGCCTTGTGCTACATGATAAGAAGTTCAGGTCTCAGTCTACCAGCAATGGGAAGTGCTCAGCCTTTCACAGCCTGTCTCACTGGGAGAGCAGAATTAAAGGGGGGAAAAGCTTTGAGGAAGTGTCTGGTGGGGAATTGCAGGGTCTCCACCTGTCCAGCCAGTGCCATGGAACTTTGAGCTTCTCTGAGAATCACTCAGGGATCAGACCCTCCCCAAGATCCTCCTTTTTAAGGAGAAGTCCTTTCCTTTCCTGGCAGCATGGAATTTCAGCATTTCTTTGCCTTTGAAGAGAAGTAAGAAGTTGGCTACTGGTACAAAAGCAGGAACAAACTCTCACCCATCAAACAAAAAGCAAAAAACAAAACCTTTACCATCTGTAACATCCATGCTTGCCTTCCTCAGAGGGACTGTGAGCCCCTGAAGAAAGGGCTGGCAGGGCCACAGGCCAACTTCTGCTGGGCGAGGTGGTCAGGCCCAGACCCAGACCCATGCTTAACTTTGGAAAGTAAAGAAGAGCTTGACTGTAGAGACTCTTGTTCACACTGCACCAGCAGTGTTCCTGACTTCAGGAACCTGAATGTTCTATGTGTTATGAATTAGGTATTTGAGATTGTCTATAACGAGAGGAGAAGGAGTCCTGGCATTTTTTATTGCCAGAAACAGAGAGTGTCTGAGGCGATTTTCCATCAGAGGGACATAGGGCATCACATCTGCAGGAAGAGACTGTGCTCTGCTTATCAGTGCTTGGGCTAAGGGCAAAGTGGAGGCTTTCTTACTCTCAGTCAGAATGGGCTCTGTGGTTTCCAGAACATACCGGGGAGCACACTACATTCTGCCACTCACCATCATGCTTTGTGACCTTAGGCAAATTAGGAAACCTCTCTGGGCCCCAGCTTCTTCCTCATCTATAAAGTGGGGATGGCAACAGTAGCAGCTTTCAGATTGTGAAAAGTGAGGAAATTAGCACGAGTAAAACGCTTAGGACATGCCTAGGTCATAGTATACCATGTAAATGTTACTACCCAGCTTCCTGCGGCTGGGATGGACAGCAGGACCAGCTACCACCATGGAGGGCGGAAGTGGTTGAGTGCCGGGCTGCACAGCTTACATTTGATCTCTCACGCCCGCATTAAGTTCAGAGTGGATCTTCACAGTGTCTTGATTTTACAGGTTAGGCTCAGGGAAGTTGAATTAGCTTGCACAAGGACACATAGTAAGTTAGTGACAGAAAGCGTCCTCTGAATCTAGACTTCCTGTCTTAATCAGGAGACTTCCTGTCTTCAGGAGGGATGGAGTCTTGGCCTCTACCTGGTGCAGTTCCCCAGAATGTACCTGCCAGTTTCTGAGTGATATGTGGAGGGAATCTGGCTACAGCTCATCCTGTGCCCACTGGCTTCTTTTCTGAAAGACAGCCTGGTCCCTGGACTACCTGTCAAGTATTCCATGAACCCTAGGGTAGGGCACACCCAAGTTTGTCTTTTAATTCCGTGGTAGGTCTGGAGCTACCTTCATATGACTATTCGGATGTTAATATCTTCATGGAGGGCAACTTTCCAGCTCCCTCTCCATCTGCAGCCCCACCCTGACATTCTGAAATAAAACGTGATACGGACTTTCTGAGAAATCCACAGGCCTAGAAGCAGCAGGAGCTCTCCAGATACTCAGATCTGTGGGTTTGTGTTTCAAACGGTGGCATGAGATGAGGTTCCTAGTTTGGAAAGAGCCACCCTTGCCCTGCTCCTCTGAATGTCCCTGGCACTGGGGGGAGACTTTTCTTTACAACAGTTTTCTTTTTCTCTCTTATTTAGAAAAATCAAACCAAAATACCCACAGCTATTTAAAGTCTAACATAAAGTCCCAAGGGGCAATAAAGCCGCTTCTTACAAAAAGAAGTTGAGTTGTGAGCAAGAGAGATGAGCCACCTCTCACTTGGAAGCTTGTTGTCTGGGATTGCCAGCTGTGGGAGTTGAGACTTAGCCCTTGTGGGATTGGGGGCCCAAGGCTGCTCAGGTCAGGCCCAGATCCAGAACCTTAGGACCACTTGCGGCAGGGCTCTCTGCCTCCTTAAGATGACATTGGGCAGGTCTCTGCTGGGACTCAGGAATGAAGAGGGTCAGAGGGAAGGTGAACTGGCTGTGGAAGCAGTGTTAAGAGGGAGGCAAGTATTGCAAAACCTTGGTGGTGCCCAGAAGGTCCTTGTTCATTTTGAGTCTTTCTGCATTAGCTAGCAGAGTTCATTTACCCTACAAACACACAGGCTGGCACTTGGCCAACATTGAGGGCAACTTGAAAAATTTCAGAGTGACAAAAGTACACAGTAAAGCTCCTCCATGTCTCCTATTTCTTTTTCCTTCTCTTCTTTTTCTTCTCCTGCAGCTTTGGTCAAATAACTCATGTCATACAATCCAGCCCTTTAAAGCGTACAATTCCATGGGGTTTAATATATTTACAGTTATGCAATCATCATTACAATCAACTTTAGAACATTTCATTATTTTTCAATACTTATTTATCTTTGGTATTTTGAGATTGAGTCAGTTCAGGCTAGCCTTGAACTTGTGATCCTCCTGCCTCAGCCTCCCGAGTGGTAGGATTACAGGCCTGTATCCCTCCATTCCCTCAACTTCTTCCAATCCTCCCAGCTATTTTTTTTTTTTTTACTTAATGCAGAGTTTCAGCAAGCTCGTCTATCTTGATTTTTAATCTGTGGCAGATTTAAGGAAACAAAATTGAAGTACGGAGAAGGATTTCTGTAGGCAGGGTCCCAGAAGTGAAGTGTGTTGATTGTAAGTGTGGACTTTGGAGTTAGATGAACTAGGTTCAAGTGACAGCCCGTCTCTACTGCATGGCCTTGGTGAAGGCTCTTGATGGCCCAAGTCTGTTTCCTGATCTGTAAACTGAGTACTATCAAAGGACCTGCTTCACGAGGATTAAATGAGCAAATACACATAAAATGCTGAGAACAGCGCATGGAGCATCTGTCATATTCCTGTTTTTGTTGTTGTTACTATTTGACACCTCCCACAGTGAGGGAGCAAATAGAATGATGAAAAGCAGACACAAGAATTCAAAACATAGCAGTCTGGGGACAAAATGACTCTAAGATCCTGACTGGATCATATACAGAACTGCAAATACATTCAGTGGGCTCTGTCTAAGGATACAGAACTTAAGTATTTCATTTCAAAATGTCACACCAAAGTTAGGTTATAAAGGGAACAGACTTTGTTATCTGAAAAATTTGGCTATCCAGAAGAGCTACTTCCCTGAGAATGTTTTGAATAAAATAAACAGGCATTTATTGTGAATTGAGCATAGCACAACTGAAGAAGTGTTGTTAAATTTATTGGTTTTTGGGTTTTTTTTTTTTTTTTTTTTTTGAAGCAGGGTCTAGCTCAGATTGCCTTAAACTCACTATGTAGCCCAGGCTACTTAGAACTTGTGATCCTCCTGCCTCAGCATTCCAAGTGCTGGGGTTACAGGTGTGTGCCACTGTGCCTGGCTAAGTCATTTTATTTCACAAAACTTCTCAGATCAGGGGTGCGTATCTCCTTTTTAAATTCATAGCCATTGACAAAGGAGCTTGATTTGAAACATCCAACTAGTTGATCTGCTTTTAAAATTCGAGATTGTAACACTTAATATAAAAAGACAGTAAGAATCGTACTTCACTTTGGGCCTCTAGGGTTTTCAGGGAGGAAGGGCAGCTGTGAAGGGTTGGAGAAAAGGCAAGGGAGGCAAGGTGAATGGTGGGGAGACAAATGGAGGCTGTCCTTGGTCAAGAGTGGAAGGTGGGGCGGGAAGCAGAAGGGAGCTGGCAAATTACCTGGGGGAGTTAAGAGAGACAGAGGGTGGAGTTGTGAGACTTTACATCTGACTGGCTTCAAGGTGTGCAAATTTTCATCCTCCTCGTCTGGCTGCTGGTCACTTGATTGTGCCTTCAGAGTAAGTTTGTGGGGCCCTCCACTGCATGCCCCTCCTACAGCGTCCAGTGTGTAACACGCACCATTGCCAGCTGTTTCCACTTTCTCTCTTCCCATAGGCTGGAACCTCTGCTGTCAGTCACACAGCAAGTGCCAGCTCTTCATCTCCTTTCTTACTTGGACCAGAGGTCCCAGTTCCATTTGGATCAGTGCAGTGACAAATAGAAACAGATAACCCTGGGAGTGGAAAATGCTCCCCTACTCCCATGGCATTCAGTCACATTGTTAACAACGTCCTGCCCCCCTGCTGGCTGCTTCCAGCCTTTAGAGTAGCACTTCTCAGCTGGAGGTGGAGGGGCTGCCAGAATGATCTGTGTGTGCTGGGGACAGGGGTTCCATCAGCCTCTATTTTGCATTGTGCCCTCCCTATGCCCCAGTTGCTCTTCTGTTCCCACCCCCAGTCTGGATTAGGTGTCCCCTCTGGGATCCCAAAATATCCCGAACATGTCATTACACTGACCACACTGCATGTTAGCAATCTGTTGAACTGTCTGGGCTGCCTCTGCCATCACAGTCAGCCCTTGGAGTCAGGGGTTATATTTGAGCTACCTGTTTTCCACCAGGGTTTGGCCTACAGGGGTTTATGCAAGGAAGTGGTGTCCATGTGCGACTCCCTGACTCACTGTGTACTTCTGAGAGTCTGGTGGAAGGTTGGTGCTGGTGCCTCCCCCTGTTTGGCTGTCCTCTGGAAGGACACACAGACAGGGACGTGGGATTTGGGAGAGCCCTGGGAAGATGCAGGCTCTGTAGAAAGAAGGGCAAGGTGGTGGTGGTGGTGGGGGTGGGGGTGCCTCCACTGAGGGTTCTGAACTTCTGTTTAGCATAAGAATAAATTATGGGAATGAGCAGTGCAGGAGTGGGACATATGAGTGGTAGAGGCAGTGGGGCCACAGAGCAGGTGGGGGCACTGTGCCAGTGCTGGGAGATGAGATGCTGTAATAACTGCCCATGTGACCAGATCACCTTCATGTCTTAAGGGCCTGGTCAGCAAGAAGGTCCCTGTGTCCCAGAAGGACCAGCCATCCAGGGGATGAGGAAGCTGTTCCCAGGCCTGGGCCTCAGGCAGCCCCACCCCTGCTTGCTCCTTGGCAGCAGTGTGTTTCTGCCAGGTAGCAGGAGGAAGGAGAGGGAGGGCCAGCTATGGCAGGGCGAACTGGCTTACCATGCTGTCACAGGGGCTAGCACAAGGTATGACAAGTGGAAGTGTGGACAGACAGTTCTGGGCCCATCACGAGGAAGTGCTTTCTAAACAGTGGTAGAGGATCATGTTTTGTTCACCTCTGTGTTTGTGTGTGTCTAGCTCTGGCCTGGCCTAGAGTCAGTGCTTGGTTAATGCTTATTGAGTAAATGATTTCATGCTGATGCTTTATTCAGGAATGTAGGGAATGCCATCGTTGGAGGTATCCAAGCAAGAGCTACCATAGTGAGAGGATTTAGGGTCTTTTCCACCCAGGAGACCTATGGTCCTATAATTCAGATAAAGCTTATGGTAAACTTCTTATGTGTCCTTCTTGTATTATTGTGACATGTGGGGCTTTGAAGAGCCTTATGAGGGAAAGAGGGTCACACACACACACACACACACACACACACACACACACGCACACATTCAGCTGCCACTCTACCTCTGTGGTATAGAATGGATACTAGGTATGGGCTTATTGTATGCAGATTTTTAAAACACTTCTTCTCCCACTGAAGCTGTCCTTCTCTATCTCCAGACCTGTGAATCTGAGTGCTTACTCCTGTGATTATGTTATGGAGTATGGCCCAGGTGACCTTAACATACGGAGGTTATTGGTGGCCTGATCTAATCACACAAGCCCTTCAAAGCAGAGAACCTCCCTAGTGACAGCAGAGGGAAAGTCAGAGATTGAAGACAGGGGCTATTTGCAAGGATCAGAGTGCCATGTGTAGGAGCTAAGGGGACCACTGGCCAACAGGAAACTTGGGACCTCAGTCTTTCAGCCACATGAAACTGAATTCTGCCAATACTCTGAATGAAGTTGGAAGTGAATTCTTTCCCGTAGCCTCCAGCAAGAGCACATGGTAGCCAATATCTTCATTTTGGAATTTTGACACCCTGAGCATAGAGACCAGTCAGGCCTAGCCAGACTTCTCACCTACAGAACTGTGAGCTAAGAAGTGGGTGTGTTTAAAGCCACCAAGTGCATGGCAATTTGTTATGCATCAATAGAAAACAGCTTTTACAGCTTTTCGAGATGCAAGCTCAGAGGTTAGCGCCTGGTGGTTCCCAGCCTCCACCCCAGGAGAGTATCCCTGAGGAGGTGGTTCAGTTAAACCTACCCCAGGGCCTGTGAGTCTGAGTTCCCAGACTGTGGATGTTTGCCTGGGAATCTGGAGCTAGAATTGAAGACCAAGGCTCATAACAATGACTGCAAGAGGGGAATTCTCTGGCAGCAGCTGGTGGGTACTGCTTCTTCAATGGGGCGATGAATACAGACATTTCCAGGACATGCTCCATAGGTTCTTGGCTTTGGCAGCCTTCCAGTTTTTAGTGTGTGTGTGCGTGTGTGCGTGTGTGTGTGTGTGTGTGTGTGTGTGTTTAACCTTTCTTACTTGTTGCTTGCCTGAGACGTCACCTGTTGTTTCTGCCCAGGCAGCATGGGCTGAGGTATACAGGGTGAGGTGGACATAGAGATAAAAACAGCTGCAGACAGGTGTGAGAGTGACACAGAAGCCAAATCTCATAGGCTCCAGCTGAGCCTGTCACAGTGTGCTAGGAAGCCTAAAACAAAGGTTATTCCTCTAGGTGTGAATGTTCAAAAGATGCCAAAGGGTGGACCTCAGCACCTCTGAGGGATGATTGGCTGGCACGTGTTGGCATCTTCCTTGGGACAGAATGCTGGCTTAGCTTCAGGTGACAGACGGCAGGCTGGGGAAAGCCTGGGCTGGGGGCTTCTGGGGTTCTGGCTGAGTTTCCTGAAGCAGCCTTGTGCATCTATTATGCAAGGCCAGTGTGTGTGTGTGTGTGTGTGTGTGAAAGGTAAACTCCCAAAAAGGGGCTACCTCCATCTGTCAAGTGTAAACAGCCTTGTCCCCAGTAGGTGGTAACACAGGTCCTTACAATAGACAGGGCCATGGCCGGTAGTGGGTGACTGAACAGGTAGGTGAGCTGTGGTTCCTGAAGATTTGGCAATGAGGAGACCTGGGCAGTGGGGCAGGAAGCCATCTGCCTCTGTGTGAGCCATGAGGCCCATTTTGGGATGAGCGAGTTTTGTCTCACCCTGTAAGTGTCACCAGGACCTGGAGAAAAGGAGGGGTTTAATGGGCCCTCGATGCTCATGGTCATAACTGAGTCCTTTGCTGGTAGCTGTAGCCCTGGCTGTGGTAAAATAAATGTGCAGAAGACTGTTGGGCCCCTGTGACATGAGGTGGAGCAAGAAGTCAGCCAGTTTCCACCACTGGAATGCAGGGAGGTGGGGCCCCACTGGAGGCAGAAAGAGACTTGGGAGGAGAGGTTCCTGATGGCCTCTCCAGTGCTGAGGTATTTCCTTCTTGGGGACTCCAGGATTGGAGTGACGTCAGTTGAAGTGTTACTGTTTTGTTAGTGAGGAAGGTGAAGTCATCACAAATCAGTTTTGCAAATAAGCATAAGCTTGCAACTTTTCAAATCAGTCTCCTGCACAAATGGGGATGAATTGTCTTCTGGTGTCAGGGTGACAGGGACGTAGTCCTGGCCTGAAGTTTATGCTGGTCAGCTGTTTCCAGAGACAGAGGTCTGCACCTGCCCCAGCAGCTGCTGCCAGAATGGCAAACGCCAGGCTTGAGGAAGGAGAGCAGCCACCTTACATATGGCTTTGTGTAAGACCTTTTCGTCTCTGGGCCCTAGCTCCTATTTACAAAATGAGGAGGCTGGATTTAATCAATCATCCCAATCCCTTCTGGTTCCAGTGCCCTGGGAAATATAGTGTAATATCTCTGTGACCTTGATTATAGACCTTCCTGAGATCATTCCTGTGCTGGGCCTTAGAGTTTGGGTTATCCGAAGAGAGCATGCTGACTGGGAAAGCCCAGTGGGTTTGATCTCGTCCTTACTTGCATGCACTGTGGTGTTGGAGCCCCTGAACCTGTCAGTCTGTGTCCTGGGACATTTGCCTTCTCTAATGTGCCATGTGCTGTGCACACACTCCTCACAGCAGTTCATGGTGACCACAGGGAGGGATGTCTGGAGGCCTGTGCTGCTTCTCAGGCAGAGACATGTTAGAGGAGAGCATATGTGATTAGAAACTTCTTAGTGGTATAGGGCCAGTGGCCACGATTAAGCAGAGCAAAATGCTCCTGCCATGTACTTAACAAAGACTGTCACTTGCCCCAACTAGCTGCTGATGTCTCCCATTGTTCCTTGGCTCTTAGAAAGAAAAGTTTCAAGATGATCCGGTCCCAGTCCCTGTCTCTTCAAATGCCAGCACAGCAAGACTGGAAGGGTCCCCCAACGGCCAGTCCGGCCATATCTCCTGCAACCCCGGTGCTCCCTGGAGCCACTTCCCAGCCCACGCCAGCACCTTATGCCATGCCTGAGTACCAGCGGGTCACCATCAGTGGAGATTACTGTGCTGGGGTAAGGTGTGTGGGAGTGTGGTGTGGGCCCAGGGGCCCTTGGACCTTTAGGTCATGGCCACCCTTGAAGCCTGGCCCAGTCTGTGGGTGTCTGGGAGGTGGTAGAGAGGAGGCTCAGGACTCTAGAGAGAAGGAGAGTCCTACTAGAAACTTTGGGTGTGGGAGTGTCTAGGGGGCCTCGCCATCTCTCTGTGGAGGGCCTAGACCTGCAGGCTGGCACATTGGCTGAGACCTGTAAGTTCCATGTGTTCTCCAAGCCCAAAACACATCGCGTGTGGCTTTGTATAAGGCCCTTTTGTCTCTGGGCCCCTAGCTCCTAGTGGGCCCCAGTGGCCTACTGAGAAGGGTGGCAGGTTGGACCGTTCAGTGTTCCCAATGTCTCATGGATTCAAAGTCATGGTTTGTATAAAATCAGTTACAGCTGATTTAGCTCTTTTGTGCTTAGGGTCAGTATCCTTAAATACAGACAAGATCCCCTCAAACAGGAAGAAGGGCTTGATTAGAAAGTAAACAAGCTTTTTTTTTTCCACTAAAAGTCCATTTAGAGATAATGTGACATAAATATATAAAGAACTTTCTTGTTCTTTTTTATAAATGCAGAGTATTCCATTATATGGACATATTGCATGATATTTATGTTAAGTTCCTGTGGATGGGAATTTAGGTGGGAAACAATGCAGGCCTTGTCTGAAGTTCAGCATCCTGACGAGGCCTAGGTGTCCTCCTCAGGCCCATGGGCAGAATACTGGAAAGGGAGAGAGGAGGTGGGCTGACTGAAATATGAATGAGAGGACCTTGGCCTGGAGTGTTACCTGGCTTCTTTATACCAGTCTGGTGCCTTTTAGGGAAGGCGACCCTGACTCAGGCAGTTAGTTTCCAGAGAGCTGCGTGGCTGAGAAAAGCAGACCCTCTGCATGGTACCCAGAGAGTCTGCTACCAGCAAAGGGTCTGTAGTCCCTACAAACTTTGTTGGTAGCTGCTGCTTCCCTGGGATCCTGAGCACCCTCTCTGATCTCCTTGGTCATGGGCTGAGCCCCTTGTCGTGCTGAGTCATTGGCTTTGCTGTGGTGGTGGTGGCAGGGGGAGGATATTGTTTTGTCTAAGATGTTTGTGCCTGTTCACCTATTCCTGTTGTTTTCAGAGGCCATCTTCGGAGGTGAAAATTAGCACACCTTTGTGGGGACAGTTGAGATGGGAAAGGAGAAGCCTTCCATGTTAACCAAAAGCAAGGAGTGATATTTAGTCAAAGTATAAACACATGTGTGGGAAAGATATAGACCAACTTCTTTCTTCTGAGGATGAAGTGAGGTGGGGGAAGGAGGACAAAGTATCCATGATGATTTATTTATTCACACTGTAAGACCTCTGAAACAATTATGAAATAGCTTTGCAAAGTAGATGCATGGGCTGCTGTTATATTACCTTCAGTGCTTGTCTGTAGGCTCAAAGCATTTCAAAACTAAATCTGGTTATTTTGTTAAAGCAGAGTAGGAAAATTCCAGGACCAGTTCTACCTACTCTGTGTTCCTCCAGTGTCTTGCATTTCTCTCTCTGTGTCACTCATCCCCTTCCCTGCCTGTCTAGTGACTTGTCTCCCCAAGCAAACCCAGATTTCTGTGCTACTCATGCTTCCTGAACTAACTAGTACTGACAAGCCCATTGGAAGGTGGGCACGGGTCTCACTCTCTCTGAATATGAAGCAGCTCTGTACAAATAGAGACTCCTGAGCTTTGGGAATCAAATTAGAACAGAGTTTGAAGTTTGACTTTAGAACTTCCTGGAGACTGAGTGACCCTTTCTTGGCCTCGGGTTCCCCATTTGTAAAAGGGGAAATAAAATCTATGGAAGTGTCTAGTATATAACACATGGCTAAAGTCCTATTGAGTGGATGAGTTGGGTGATCATCAGATTTCATCAAAGCCAGGACTTGTCAAAGCAGTGGGTTTTCTTTTTCTTTTTTTAATAGTATCTCAAGGACCTATGGTTTTCTCAACTGAAAATGATGGTGCTTATCCCCATTAGGGATGGGATCCAGGCTTTGTCTTTTCCTGTTCTGGGTTTAGCAACAGGCTTGCAGTTTGATCAGCAGCCTGTGGAGCCAGTGTCTGGAAGTATAGGCTGGAGTACCCACCTACCTCCCAGCAGCCCTAACCTTCTTCCTATGTTTCCTGTGTCAGGCTCCCCGAGACCACCCCCAGGTCAGTGACTTGCTAAGACTCCCAGGACTCAGTGTCTAACTACCCTCAGCTATGATGTATCACAGAGGAAGGACACAGATCAAGTCAGCCATGGGAAAGCCGCCTTGGGGCGAGGTCCTCAGGACATCAGGGCAAGCTTCCAAGAGGCCTCTCTCAGTGGAGTCAACAAACATAACACCTTCAGCATCCAGTGGTGATGCACATGTGACGTGCTGTCCACAGGGAAGCTCACTAGAGACTCAGCATCCAAGGTTTTTATTGGATCTGATCACACATCTGCATGCCCCCAAATTCTAGACTCTCAGAAGGAAATCAGGTGTCTCTCATAAACAGTATTGTTTATACTAACAGTTTAGACATAATGAGCCACTCCTGTTGGTCCAGGAATGGTAGGAAATCTCCCAAAATCCAGGTTCCCAGGTGCCAGCTAAGGGCCAGCCTTACAGGCAGATCCTTCCAAGCATGGTGTCTCCGGCCTACTGTGTGAACTCTCTTCTTCATGCCGCCTGCTGCAGATCACTGTGGAGGACTATGAGCAGGCTGCCAAGAGCCTGGCCAAGGCCTTGATGATCCGGGAGAAGTATGCCCGGCTTGCCTATCACCGTTTCCCAAGGACCACAGCCCAGTACCTGGGTCATCAGCGAGTTGACACTGCACCCTTGGAAGAGGTTCTCCCAGGTATGGAGTACTGGATGGAAGTGGGGTCCTATGTACCCCAACAGTTGGCTAAGACTGTTTGTTGGCTGAATGTGTTTTCTCCCAGTGATGTTTTTAGGGGGGAGGCCCTGGTGTTGGGTTCTGCTGCATGAATGTTTGCTGGGATGGGTTTTGGCCCTGTGTGGAGATGAGCTGTAGAAGTTAAAAGGGAGATAGGGAGCTCACATGGGCTATTTAAAACAAGCAGTCAACCAGTAAGTGCTAATTGGTGGGAGGATGGGTCCGGGTGGGGGAAGGTGCCTTTCCGTTCCTGGCGTAGGGGAAGTAGGTGCTGGAGTCAAACATACCTGCAGTTATATTTGGGCTCTACCACTTGCTTGTATCATGAGCAAGGTATTTCTCTTTCATTTTCTCAATCTGTAACATGGGAATATTAATAATATCTATCACCTAGGGCTGTTGTGAAGATTGAATAGGCAAATGTATGTGGAGTACTTAGTGCGGCTCTGGCATCTAGTGAGTGTTCGATACAGTGGCTATATTTATGCTGCCAATTTCAGGGAAGGGGAGATGAGAGTGGGCAGGGCAGCCTTGTATTGGAGTCTATGTGGCCTGTGAAGGACCTAGGAGCAGTGGAGGCTGTGCGTTAAGTTATACAGGTGAGGACAGTGGGAAACCTCACTTTTGAAAGCCAGGGTCAGGGAGCAGCTGAGCACTGGTGGTCTGAACCAAGGCCCAAGACTCTGGCTGCCTTGGATGTAGTTGGTAGCATCAGGTTTTATCAGTCTCTGGCTTCCTTGAAGCTTTCAGTCTTGTGCATTGAGCATCTGTTACCACCCTGACCTCTGACACAAGCGAGGGACTTCTGAGCTGGCCTGTGGTTGGGCCTGAAGGAGGACATCTTCCCCCAGTGTGCTCTGCTTTGGCTCCTCTGTGATCTTCCCAGCTGCTCTGGGTCAGCCTGTTCTGAGCACTGAGGAAGGACACCCAGCCAGCTTACCCGCCAGGGCCACTGCTTTTGATGAGGAGCCAGGGTTTCCTGTTGCCTAGGTTGGCAACTGGGCTGCTGGTCGTGTTGTGGTGTTGGCTGATCTCAGAGTTGAAGCCTCCAGTTTCCCATCCCATGCTCCTTTGGGAAGGAGGTAGCTTCTTCATCTAGCTCCTTGGCTGCCCAGGGCTCAGAAAAATGTAGGAGGACAAGGAGGAAAAGGGCCGTCATTCTCCTCTGGGCAGTCCTAATGCAGTTTATTCTTTTGTTGAGAGAAGACGCAGCTTTCCTCCCTCTTCCCCGCTTTACATTCCTGGGGATCCCCGAGGGCCAAGGAAGCTGAAGTCCATTTAAGTTAAAACTAAAACAAAACAAGCATACACAAAAACCCTCAAAGTGGCAGTTATGTGACTGGGACTTAATCTGGGTAGTGGGTTACAGCAGTGACCAATGCAAATCAAAGTCTCTGACCACATGCAGAGTCCTATTTTGAGTAAAGAAGACCTATAATACCAAGGAAAGACAAGACACACAATTATTTTACGCAGTGCTAAATGCTCAGGCGACAGAATAAAGCAGGGAAGGGGACATGCACTGTGAGCGAGGTGAGGGTGGTTGGATTTTAGAATGGCCAGGGCAGGCCTCACTCAGAATGTGACTTTTGAGCCCACAGGAGCTCACAGGTCAGGGATTCAAGGCCTCGCTCAATCTGTTTTGCAGACTTCCACCCTCCCCCACTGCCCCAGGAAGACCCTTACTGCCTAGATGATGCACCCCCCAACCTGGGCTACCTGGTCCGCATGCAGGGGGGCATCCTCTTCGTGTATGATAACGAAAAGATGCTGGAGTGCCAGGAGCCCCACAGTCTGCCCTACCCTGACCTGGAGACCTACACGGTGGACATGAGCCACATCCTGGCTCTCATTACTGATGGCCCCACGTGAGTCAGCTCTCCCCAACTCCCCGCATTGTGTGGGTGCTGTTTTGTAGGAAGGAGTTGTAGGCTTTCCTGCATGCACACCACCCTGAATTTTCCTCCATGGGCTAGCATGTTCTTAGAGTTGTTTCTGCCTGTCCCTTTTGCATGCATTGGTGTGGAGTTTCTGTTGCTAGTGACCACTTGGATACCTTAAAATGACTGTCACTCCCTCTTTCCATCCATGCAAAACAACAGCCTCACAGAGAGCTGCCAGCCTGGGGTGGCCTGTGCATGGAGGAAGAGAGATGAGCAGTCTTGCTTCAGGTCTTGGGTTCTGCTTCAGGCGAGCTGACTTTCACCTTCCCTTGCACATGGATATTCCTCTGTGCTTGTCCTGGGGCCTGTCTTAGCAGATAGACACAGCTGCTTCTTGTTGGGGTCCATGAGGAAGCAGGGTGGCATGAATTATGGCCAGTTCCACATGGCTGCAGACTCAGACACGTGGTGGGGCATTTGGGCTGCAGGGGGGGGGTGGCCACAGCAGTGACCCCTCACCTTGCTGGCCTAGGAGACCTCCCTACCGGGGGGCACCTTCTCTATTCAAGTGGGTGGAAACCTGAGGCATTAGACCCAAGATATTTCTGTCTCAGTGACAAATATCCTATACTCCTAATCTGCCCCTGTTGTCTTGTCCTGGAGCCTCGGGGTTGAGGGAGCTTCAGGCCTTTGGAATTTGGGGACATTTGGTCATGAGTTGGTGATACCTCTGCATCCTAAGGTGGGCAGGAATGACTTACAGTGTAGTCGTTGATTATATTGTTTGATATTCTGGACAATTAATCCCGTCTTTAAACAATTCAAGGTGGGTAAGGATGGACAGGAGGAAAGAAGAGGGGCTGAGGGAGGGGGACTTACTGAGCATCTGCTTTGCTCACTCAGGCCCTTTCCCAGCATTCAACTTAACTCTCACTTCAGCCTGGGGTGTCACCATCTCAATAGTTATTCAGGAGAGTGGAGGCTCACAGGTAATTGCCTAAATACACACAGCTAGAAGTCAAAGGCCCCGTGTCTTGACTGTCCACTCACACTCTGGTAGAGGTGTTGGTCAGTTCATCTGGGTCTGTGCAAAGCTGGGAGCTCCTCAGCCCTCCCTGCTGTTCTGCTCAGGCCCAACCCTTCCACTCAGGGTGGGCCACCCATGTTGGAGGTCTCCAAACAGAGTCTGAGGCAATGTCTCAATTGTGGTCTCTCTCTCTTCCCAACCTTCAGGAAAACATATTGTCACCGACGACTGAACTTTCTGGAATCCAAGTTCAGCCTTCACGAGATGTTAAATGAAATGTCTGAGTTCAAGGAGTTGAAGAGTAATCCCCACCGAGATTTCTATAATGTGAGAAAGGTGCGTCACAGCTAGTGTTTAAGTCACCCACCTGGTCTCCCTCCTGGTCTGGGCCAGCACTCTGTGAGAGCCTCAGGGCTCCTTTGCTGGTGTGACTCTTCTTAGCCACAAGAGCGTGATGTGTACATGATGCATACATGCGGGAGGAAGACTGGCGAACTGTGCCCTTGTGTCAGGTTGTGTCTCAGGTGGCTTGGTACCTCTCCACATCGGTGCTATGCCTCTGTTGGAGTATGTCCTCCTTGGGAAGAAGGGCCCAGCCACTAATTGGTCACAACAGTTGAGCACAGGCCGTTTTTAGGATAGGGAGCAGTTAGATTCATTATGGAGGGAGAAAGCTGTATGACTTCTTAGGACTTGGGAGTTTGTGGTTTTGCATCCTTTGGAATCAGGCCCAGTAAAGAAAAGCATGTGCTGTATTCCTGTCTCTGTCCTTCTACGCATTGAGTGGATGAGTGGCTTTGGCACCCTTAGCCTGCAGGGTGTCAACAGAGCAGCTGTTTGTGTTAAATGGCCATGGTCTCCAGCGTTTCCATTTTCTTCCAGTTAAGTAACCCATAGTGCTCACAGTTGATGGTGAGCAGGATTCACTTCCTGCTGACATGAATTCCCTGCCTGTTACCTTAGGGATAAGTGTTGTGACAGGGGTGGTTTTCAGGGAGAAGCCAGAACTGGGCTGTCATAAAGGGTGAGTAGGAATTAGCCAGGCAGAGGGTGGTGTAGGAGAGTGAAATGGAGGCATTCTGGGTCGGGGGGAGTAGCATGTGCACATGAGGGCAGGAGAGAGGAGGAAGTTTGAGCAGTGTATGGTCATGACTGTGGGCAGCATGGTATGGCTGGAGTTCAGGTGTCGGGGAAGAGGAGAGGAGAGGGTGGATTAGGGAAGGTTCTCGATCATGTGGGGTACATGAGCTTCTCAGAGAGGGCAAAGGGTGAGCCTAACATGGACTTCCAATTGGATGGTACCAAGAGCCTTCAGAAGTGAGAGCTTGGCTTCAGCTCTTGGTCTGTGCGAGACTTGTGGAAGAGTCTTGGGGATTCCTGGGTAGAGGTGACAGATCATGTGTGAGGTCACCTGTCTGGGCATTTTCACCATGACCACCATTTGCTCCTTCTCTGTGAGCCTTGGGTGTTGAGACAGGTGGGTGCCCGTGAGAATTCTCAGCCCTGACTGAGGCATCCTTGGTACCCATCACGTGCCCTGGCAGGTGTCCCAGGAAACTCCTTGCCCAGCCCAGTGTAGCCCTGCATTCCCTTGCCCCAAGACATGAATGTTCTGGGCCTACCTGATTCTGTTTCCTGCTGCTTGGAGCCAGGTTGTCTGTGGTGCTTTCTGTGCTGTTTGCTTCTGAGATGGCCTAGTGGCTGTTCTGGAGCTCCCTGTCCCATCTGCTCCCTGGATATCATGGGAAAGAGACCTGGTGTGGGGCTGTGGTTATACATCAGATCTGATCCCTGTCGGTGTGGAGGTTAATGTGCTCTCTGGACAAATATGACCTCGATATCCTTGCTGTAACACAGTCCATAAACATGGACCCAGGGTGGCTGAGTAAAGTCTGTGCTCTCCCCTCCTGGATAGAGGAGCCTGCTTCCTGGGTTCTGGCTGCTTTATTTCACCCTAAAAGCCTACTGTGGGAGAGGAACTGCTCTCTAGAATCAAGGGTGTTCAGGAAGAGGAGGGGGCTCCCTATTTCTGAGGTGGCTGTCGTGTCATCTGGGTAGGCCAGGGCTAGGCTCTGAGGGTAGGAGCTGTGGCATGATCTTAGCAGGGGTTGGGTTATGGCACAAGGATTCCCCAGTCAACAGGATGGTAACTGAGACATTGTTTTCTGTCCAGAGCTAAGACAGAAGGGCTGAGTGTGCTTGCTGGTTGGGAGCTGCATAAGACTGTGGCATTATTCACTTTGGTCAATGTCATGTCAGGGATCACAAATAGGTTTCCTCTTCCTTGCCAAGCCTCGACTGGTTAGGAGTGGCTCCCTGAGGCTATTCCAGAAGCTCAGTGTAAAGAATGCTGCATCTGATTATGGATGTACATGAGAACGGAAATGGTCAGCGCTAGCTCACGTCCCAGGTATGGGCTCAGCCCTGTGTTGAGACCTGGATCTTGGGCGAAAGTGGAGAATGGGCTTATATCTTCTGGTGAATTGAAAATCCTGACCTCCAATGACAGCCTTTTTGACTTGTTCCTAAAAAATAATCTCCTTTGAGATGCTGAAGTTTGGATCAGGTGCTTCCTGGATTGTCCAGTTGTTTTCCTTTTATATCTTGTGACTGATGGGGGTGAGGACAGTCTGAACCCCCTGTGGTGTGTCATTGGTAGGCTGGAGGACATAACCAGAAGCTCAGAATGTGCTGAGTCATGCTGAGATAGTGGAGCCAGGCTGTGTCCTGCTGAGCTAAGCCAGCCTGACCTTCTCTAGTGCATCCCACAGGAGCCCAGTCTCATTCCTGAGACTCTGGAGCCCTGACTATGTTTTAAGTTGTTTTAGTGGCTTGACTTGCTGGGAGAAGTGACAGGATTGATGGCAGGAAGGACCCTAATGAGTGAATGATGTGTCCAATGACAGTGGCTGGCTGAGGTAATGTACAGAGAGGTCCAATAGATCAGATGTCTGGTTTGGCATGTCTTAGAGATGACCAACCAGCTGTGGACAGCATTCCTTGGCTTCAGGTCAGTACCTTCTTCCTCCCCCACCCCCCGCCCCCAGCCCTGGCAGAGAGCCCAGTTAACTTCAGTAGTAACTACTGGAACAGGCTGGTAGCTGGGAGCACCCTGGCCTGTGAGGTCCCTCCCTGGGGACCTCCCTTAGGCCCCTTGGGCTAATGGAAAGAGACTCAGACTGCTCATGGTGACTTTAGGGCTTCCTTCAGCTTAGTCTCGTGGCTGTCCTGTGAGCAGAGCACAGTGAAAAAGGAAGAGTGGGGATGAGGCATGTGGAGAGATGGGAGGGACCAGGCAATATTAGCAGGGCCTTCATCCTAAAATTAATGGCAGTGTTTAGTAACAGAATCAAGCTGAATTTTCAAGATCCGCCGTAGCTTCTTTGTGCAGAGAATGATTGAACCAGGGCAAGAGAAAAAGTGGCAAGACAGGTTAAGAGGTCACTGTGGACTCAGAACAATCTTGGACTGTCATGGTGGTCCTGAGATGGCGGAGCACTGTGTGGATCTGAGATCAGTTTGGAAGGTAGAATTGATGGGACTGACTGGGGTGGAAGGAGAGGAGAGGGGAAGGTTGACAGTGACTCTTGGTTTTCCAGTGTGAACAACTGGGTGCCAGATGTACCATTTCCTGGGGTGCAGAAACCTGTTGGGCTCAGAGATGGAGAATCTCTTTTTGGATATATTAAGGTTGAGCTGCCTTTGAGTTACCCAAGTAGAAATATCAAGTAGGCAGTTGTATGTATAATTCTGGAGCTGCTGGCTGACAATACACATTTGGGAATTGTTGGTCTAAGAAGGAGATTAAAGCAGACCACCTTTGGAGGGAGTGTATGGTGAGAGGACAGGAGGACCAGGACCAGGCCTGAAGAAATGCCAGTACCAGGAGGTCTGGTAGTGAGGATGAGATGACTGAGGAAGCTGAGAAGGAGAGGTCAGAGAGGCAAGGGGACAGCTTGGTGTTCCAGAAACTTGGCATGATATGGAAATCCTGGGAAATCCCATGAGGTATTCTGAGATCTGGCTAGGCTCCTCCCTGGTGCCTTATGCAGGGAAGCTGCCTTTCCAAGGAGTGTGGGGTAATCCACAGCTCCCAGTGCCTATCTTTGACTAGGATTTGCTCTGAGACCTGACTCTGCTGAGAGGGGTGTGGTGGTGACCGCTCTCTCATTCACCCCACCTTGGATCTTTGCTTTTAACTCAATGGGAATATTAGGATTTCATGGGGCATTTGGTGGGCACACAGGGTCATGTGGAGTTACTGAAGCTATTGGAACCTATTGTATCTGTTCATTTGTTCATCTATCCATCGATTTACCTCCTACTTCAAACCAGTCTCTGGGGCAGGAGCTGGAGGCCAAGATGCATCAGATATGGACTCTGTCCTTGAGGAGTTTCCAGGCTATAGGAGGAGCAGATAGAACATATTAGAGGGGTCAGGAGGACATACACAGAGATGGGAATGTCTGAGTTAGACTCCCAGGCAATGGAAAGAGTGGGTCAGGTGTGCTTGGGGTTCAGGTTTGGCTTTCATGTGGAGGAGGTGGAAGGAAATGGATGTGATGGGCAGGGAGGAAGGAAGGCATTCCAGGCTGAGCAAACTCATAGGCAAAGCAGCACGGTGTGGAGTACCTGGCACCCCAAGTACCTGTAAGTGGTTTGCCATGGCTGGAGCTACTGGGCAGTGGGAAGGTGAGAGCTAAGACCTGAAGTAGCCTCCATCCCAGTCTCAGGTCCTGGGCTTTACAGCTTTACAATGCTGGGCCACTGATGATGTATTAAAAGGGGAGAGGCCTGATCCAGTCTACATTCTGCAAAAATATCCCAATGCTGTAAGGAGGTAGACTGGGCAGCAAGGCTAAAGGGAGGGAGGCCAATTCTGAGGTCTAGAGGAGGAGGGGCACCCAGGTACTGGGGGGCACTGCCTCCATAGCCCATATGGTGCTCAGGCTCTGTGCTCCACGTGGAGGCTTGGGGCTCTTTTGTTGCCAGTGGAGATGGCCTGGCTCACCGGGCAGTGGATGCTGTGTTCCAGGTGGACACCCACATCCATGCAGCTGCCTGTATGAACCAGAAGCACTTACTGCGCTTCATCAAGCACACGTACCAGACGGAGCCCGATAGGACTGTGGCTGAGAAGCTGGGCCAGAAGATTACCCTGAGGCAGGTGTTTGACAGCCTGCACATGGACCCCTACGACCTTACTGTGGACTCACTAGACGTCCACGCGGTGAGTGAGCCTCTGTTCTGGTGCCTCCGCAGAAAGCAGCCCAATGGGGACTCAGCCCTTGCAAAATGCCATGGTTGTGCTTGGAGGGTGCTGGTTGGAGAAGCAGCTCTTTCTTGGCTGCTGGTGGAAGCTGTGGAAGGAGTTTAATGTCAGAGAATACAGAGCTTGGTGCAGCTGTGGGACACAGGAGGCATATATAACATGGGGTCAGATAGGTGCAAGTTCTAATCCCACTTCTGCCACTTAGGAGTTATGTGACCTAAGCAACTCACTTTTATTTCCTTGTCTGTAAAAGGGTGACTGTTGGGTGCCTTGTTAACTTCATAAAGTTATTAAAAACACTGAATGATGGTGCAATTGCTGTGGAAACAGTGTGGTGGGTCCTCACAAAGTTACTACAGAATTACCATAGAACCCAGCAATTCCATCCCGAGGTGTGCACCCAAAAAGTTGAAAGCAGGGGCTTGGATACTTGCACACCAATGTTCATAGCAGCATTATTCACAATTATCAAAAGACGAAACTAACCCAAGTGTTCATCAACAGATGTGGCAGATACGCACAATAGGATGTTAGTTGGCTTTAAAAAGGGATAGGAAACATTTTAATGCTGATAATTCAGTGGTCTAGTGTCTTGTGCTCTCTCAGCTGGCCATGTTTTTCACCATGGTTCCTTGTAGCTCAAGGCTTTTGACACTCCATAGAATGCTTCATCAAAGGACCCCATGGCTGACTGAGTGAGGGTACACAGTCCTAGTCCTTAGAAACTTCCAAGATTTCACTCAAGAAGAGATACGGACTGGGCACTGGTGGCTCATGCCTGTAATCCTAGCTACTTGGGAGGCAGAGATCAGGAGGATCACGGTTCGAAGCCAGCCTAGGCAAATAGTTCATGAGACCCTATCTCGAAAAAACCCTTCACAAAAAAGGGCTAGTAGAGTGGCTCAAGGTGTAGGCCTTGAGTTCAAGCCCCAGTATTGCAAAAAAAGAAAGAAAGAAAAAGAAGAAAGAAAGAAAGAAAGAAAGAAAGAAAAAGAAAAGAAGGAAGGAAGAGAAAGAGACAGAAAGAAAAGGAAGAGAGAGAGAAAGAAAGAAAGAGAAAGAAAGGGAGAAAGAAAAGACATGGAAGCCACTTTTCAGTGTAGCCACACATAAGGCTACCTTGTAAGGGCCTGGAGAAGGCGGTGGCTGCAGAACAATGTGGTGACCTGGCTGGTGGTCTCTTCCCTGCAGGGCCGGCAGACATTCCATCGCTTTGACAAGTTCAACTCCAAATACAACCCTGTGGGAGCCAGTGAGCTTCGTGACCTGTATTTGAAAACTGAAAACTACCTAGGAGGAGAGTACTTTGCTCGGATGGTCAAGGTGAGTGAGCCTCACCCTCTCCAAGGCCTCTCTGATACCTGAGGCATCTACCTTCAAAGAGTGGGGGCCCTGCATGGCCTCCTGTCCCTTCCCCTCCCTTAATGCCCCTCTGTCCAGCATGCAGCTCAGGCCAGCACTGAGGAGCCCAGACACCCATGCTCTGGCCCTGGTCAGGTCCTGAGCACAGGCAGCTCGTGCTGTGCAGCTGACTTCAGGGAAGAGAGGGGAGGGCGTCCATTCTGGCAGAACTGGTGACATCCTGGTGCCATGCCTTGTCTGTGTGTAGCCCGAACTCAGCTGGGTGCAGGTTGGCTCATTGCAGAGACATGGCTGCTGCCTGGCCTGGTTCTGCAGGTGCCAGTGCAGACCCACAACCTACCTCCCAGGGGAAGTCTGTGCTGACATGGCACCACTGGGGATTTAGATCAGCCTGCCCACCTGTGAGCAGGTGACTGAGGGAGCGCAGGGCCCAGCTGGGGTTGGGAGTCTCCAATGTAGCTGGGAGGCTGTTGGGCTGACCTGATTCTTCTTGGTGCCAGGAGGTGGCCAGGGAACTGGAGGAGAGCAAGTATCAGTACTCAGAGCCTCGGCTCTCCATCTATGGCCGCAGTCCTGAGGAGTGGCCTAACCTGGCCCGCTGGTTCATCCAGCACAAGGTCTACTCACCCAACGTGCGCTGGATCATCCAGGTGCCCCGGATTTAGTGAGTGTGGTGCCCTTTTACCCTGTGACCTCTGGGGTGACAGCCTGTCTTGCAGGAGCTCATAAGTGCACGGGGAGGAGTGGTTGGCAAAGATGTCCTCGTGACACTTCACTCTTGCTCTTTGAAGAATACTTTGTGTGTCAAGGATTTGGGGGGAAACAACCACTCCTGCCTTTTCCTCACTGAAGGTTTGGGTGAGCCCAGGGAACGAGGTGACCTGCTAGGGGCCTACATTGCTGACCTTTCCCTGGCTATCACTCAGACCACCTCTCTCCTCCAGGTGGGCTTGGGCATAGGGTTTAGGGACCCTGAGCTGAGTAGCATTAGATCACTAGGAAATTTGAGGACTCCTTTCTCTGCCCTTGGCCAGACTGAATCCCACTACCCCATTTCTGTAATGATGTCTGCCTTGAGGCATCCAGATGGGCTTGGGAAGGTGTGGCATTTGTGGAGCACTGCCCGGTATTGCAGGACTAGTTGGGAGTGGAGAAGAAAGGCCACATCTGACTCTACTCTGGGTGACTCTACTCTGGGGCCAGTCTCTGACATGCCGGGGGGAACTGTGGGGTCCATCTAGCGAGCAAGTCTTTGCTCCCCCTCCCCATCCCAGTGATATATTTAGGTCAAAGAAGCTGCTGCCAAACTTTGCGAAGATGCTGGAGAACATCTTCCTGCCCCTTTTCAAGGCCACGATCAACCCCCAAGATCACCGGGAGCTTCACCTCTTCCTCAAATATGTAAGTGGGATGGGGCTTGGGCAAGCTTAGCATGGCAAAGGAGGGCACTCTCCCTGTGAACCTGGTCAGGTTTCCTCCTGCCCACACCATGGTTTCCCTTCTCAGCTCCTGTCACCCTGTGTTTTGGGCATGTGGCTGCTAGCCCAATAAGGGAGTTTATCTGAGTGGGGCATCCCCTCTCCCCAGGGGCAGCCCTGGGGCTGGTGCTGTGGTCCTGGGGCAGCAGGGTATTTCCCCAGCAGGGGAAAGGCAGCAGTGGGCAAGGTCTGAGAGTCAGTGCCTGGCCAAGGGGGCTGGAGAGACTGACTCCTGCCTCAGTTAGCACTGATGGCTGTCTTAGCAGTGCAGACATTTCAATTTCTCTGCTTTTACCTAAGATAAGTTCCTCCATGCTTGATATCATACAAGACCCACAAAATGTATTTCTCTTCCATATTTGGGTAGATATAGGAGAAGGGATGGAGGAGAGGCTTAAGGAGGAAGGAAGGGACTGCTTTGTTCCCCAAGCCTGGAATAAGGATGATGACAGACAGCATCAAGTTCAGATCAATGTCTGACGGGGAAGAGCGAGAGGGCCTGGGTGAGGAGGGGATGGTTGGGTCTGGGAGTGTAGGGCTACCTGGAAAGTGTTTGGACATCACTGAATTTATGTGTTAGACAAGTATCGTCCTGGCTGTTGTATGGAGAAGGGCCTGGAACAGAGGGCAACTGTGGGTGGGGGAGGGACAGGATGAGAGTGGGGCCTGTTCCAGCCCTGGAGATGGGAAGGGCGTTTGAATCAATGGTAGCGTTCACATTTGTTGAGTCTCATGTCAGCCTCATGGTTACGCCATCTTTATCTTCAATTCACTGTAAGTAACGAACAGAGTCATTGTGTGTGCACTGTGTGTGTGCTAGACCCTATGTGAAGGGCTGACCATGGATTCTTCTGTTCAATCCTCACAACCATAGGAAACTCCTAGGGCCTTTTATACTTAAGGAAATTAAGCAGAGAGATCACAAAGGTAGAAAGTGGCAGAACTGGAGTTCACGTAGGTGAGCCTGACTCCAGAGCATGTGTCCTGAACCTCCATTCTGTATTGTCTCCCATAGGCAGCTGAGCCTGTGGCCCTGGTCACAGAGGCACTGGGCAGAGGTGGGCTTTTGGCAAGAAGGGGTTGGTGTAGACTTGATTGGACCTGGGCAAAGACTGGAGGGGAGCAGCAGGAGGAGGAGGGCAAAGACACCTTCTAGGTGCCCCGTTCACCATTTGGAGGCCTCTACCAACAATAGGAGAAGAGCAGGGAAGGGGTGGGTGAGGGGAAGGAGAAGGAGAAGAGCTGGAGTAGGTTTGAATACCTTTTGAGTCCAGGTCTTTGAGAGATGCGGTGGTGGGCCCTGCACTGGTTGGATAGAGCTTGAGAGAACGACTGGCATTATCCCCACTCCTAGCTACACAGTGTTCAGGTGACATATAGAGCTAGTGACAGCACAGCTTGAAGTTCCCGGACCCATCCAGGGGCTACTTAGAGCTATAGCAAGAAGGTACCTTGTTGTTTCCTTGAACACAGGGTTCAATGGCAGGGGGAGACCTGTTAACCAACCTCCCCCAGGAGCTGGCTGAGAGCTGTGTCCTCCACAGGTACGCTCTTGGTTGGGGCTCAATCCTGGGATTCACCAGAAGCCTCTGGGAGCCCAGCCTGGTGCTCTGGGTCATGGATAGGTCCCAGCTGTGGTGTGACTGCAGTGGGGGGAGGTGGAGTCTCCTGAGGTTCCTCTGAGCTGGCTCAGAGGGCTGCTTCTTTCAGAGCAGAGCTGCCTCCAGGAACCCCTGCTCAGGGTCAATTTGTGAAGCACCCAGCCTGGTGTCTCACGGCCACACCTGAATGTGCCTCAAGGAATCCTCTACCTACAGCCTCAAAGAATCCAGACTTGGAGCCCACGTGGGCCCAGACCTTGTCCTCTCACTTGGGCAACTTCCTTAATCATGTTGGTTCTGGTTTGCTCAACTTGAAAGTGGAGCTCTCAGTCTACCTCTCCCTCACAGTGTCACTTTGAGGATTAAATTAGCTGATGTGTCTGAGTTGCTTCAAGTGAGACCTGGTGTATAGCAGGTGCATGACATATGGTAGGTCTCCTTCCTGCTCACAGCCTGTCACTGCTGCTACTGGTAGTGGCTGCTGTCCCCTGCAGAGCTGGCCTCCTTGCCCAGCAAGGGATGGGTAGTAGATCTGACTCCTCACCGTTATCAGGCCTGCTCTATTTCTCAACTGTCACCGTTACGACACGGGTGTGGCATTCTCCAGTCTGGCCTCTTGGGTCCCTTGAGAAGTCTTAAAAGCACAGACTGTGATGTTGCACCCTATTCCTTTCCCTGGGAGGAAAGTGGCCAGAGCCAAGCCCAGGATCCCCAGCTCAGGTGTGAACCTGAGAGGCTTTGGTATCTCAGCTCTGAGCTGCAGGAAGCTGATTTGAGCGAGTCCTGGATTGTTTCATCTTGGCCTTTCACCTCCCTTCCTACGCAGGTGACAGGGTTTGACAGCGTGGATGATGAGTCCAAGCACAGTGACCACATGTTCTCGGACAAGAGCCCCAGCCCTGACATCTGGAGCAGCGAGCAGAACCCGCCTTACAGCTACTACCTGTACTACATGTACGCCAACATCATGGTGCTCAACAACCTCCGCAGGTCAGACACACCTCCCTGTGGAAATCGTGTGAGCTGGAGGCCTGTGACATGGCAGTGGTGGGGCCCTGCTCTGGTTGGACAGAGCTCAGGAGAAGGACTAGCATTATTTCCACTTCCAGCTCCACAGTGTTCAGGTGACATGTGGGGCTGGTGAGCAGAGAATGAAGTCATCTGAACTCCTACTCTCTGGGCGAGGCTGGCCACTCACATGAGTGTGAGTCACGTACTCACACACTCCCACATACATCTATGCACACTTCAACCAACACACACCCACATGCCCACATGGGTACTTCCCAGGAGAGTTCGCAAGGCATGTATCCCAAAGGCATGCATGTCCACATGACACACGCCAATGCAGACCTGGATTGTATATACAACGAAGCTGCACACCATACACGTGCACACATGTTCCCATGTACACACACTCACCAACACACAGCTCCGTGTGGGCCTGTACATCCCTGAGACAGTAGAAACACGGGACATGGCAAGACACATGTATGTTCACTTACCACACCAACAATGTGCACACGTGTGTTTGTGCTTGCTACAAATGACTGCAGCTGCCATGTGACAGGCACAGTCCAGGCACTAGACAGGTAACAGGGAGCAAAACAAACTTGTCTCACAGGTGGTCTTCCATGCACAGGCTCACACCCCGTACCCCCAGAGGCAAGTTACAGATGGGCAGGGATCGGATGCCTAAGACACAGGACACTGAGTCATTCCCCTCCCTACAAGTCTTGCATTCCACCTGCCCTGCTGGGCCTTGAGGCCTCACTAGGTGGCCTGAGCCAATGTGAGTTTGTGGTATGGAGGTCTGGAATGGGGCCATGGTTAAGAGAAGGGGCCTGGGGTGGGGTGGAGACAGTCCTGTGCTTAGCTTCTAGACATGGGGGTCCTAGTTCTAGCTTTGCCACTGACCTGCTCTGTGGCTTTGAATACAGACTTCACTCTCTGGGCCTTGGTTTGCCCATTTGTATTCAGAGGGTGAACTTGTTGGTTTCTCAAGTTGTTCCCTGCTCTGGAGGTCTGTGAAGGACACAGGCCTGGTGAGGATCCAGGAGAGGAGTAGGTTTGAGGACAGGCTAGGGTCCCTCTCAATGGCTAGGCTCCCTCTGTGCCCTGCAGATCATGTCTCTTGGCTCTGAGAGGCCTGGAGCTGGGCCTCTGCATTTCGGGAGGGGCCATTCCTAGGGTGCACTGGGTCAGCTGTGCTGACTACTCCCCTGGAGTGGATCCTGGGCTGAGGGTATGGGCCCCAGTCAAATGAACCAGGGCTTGTTTTCTGACCCAGGGCTTCCCTTTTCCTAGGGAACGAGGCCTCAGCACGTTCCTGTTCCGGCCTCACTGTGGGGAGGCCGGCTCCATCACTCACTTGGTGTCTGCTTTCCTAACTGCTGACAACATTTCCCATGGGCTGCTTCTCAAGAAGGTGAGCCAGCCCTGGGCTCCCTGGGGTTCCCATCCATCTTCTGGAAGTGCTAGCCAGTGATGCTAGAGGGCCACGACTTTTTTCTGGGCTGGGGTGCCTATAGTCACCTTGGATTCATTTTTAATTATGAAAGTAATATAACCAAACACATCACAATTTAATTTCCTAAAAAATGAAGAAAGAAAACTTTCTTGCTATTACTTTACAGAAACAGCTTTATTAGCTTTTTAACATTTCCAACTTCCATGTTTCATCCACAGTATATTTTGGTTCCTACTTTGGTTTCCTTAACATTGAATAACACACATTTTTCTTCACTGGAACATATACCCGGACCCCTCATTCTAAAGACCTTTGAGGAGCAGTCCACCCTTTGGTCTACAGTTGACTCCACTAGTCCCCAGTGGTGGACAGTGGCCGTCCAGCTATTTCTGCATGTGAACAATGCTACCATGAACTCTGGGTACTCCATCTTCCCATATTTTAGGTCACACCCGTAGGAATGCAGTTTTTTCAAAATGCTTCCATGCGCTGGTCCTAGCAGGTCCAGCCTCAGCTCACATTTCTGTCTGGAGCCAAGAGTGGGCACTTCAAACCACAGGCAGGAGGCTGTGGCCTGGAGGGCTGGCATGTGATGTAGCAATGGGAGGGATACAAGTGGGTAACAGGGAAGGCAGCGGTCTGGGTGTCCTGGCTTTGGTGAACTTACACTTGGTTGGGGACCTGTACAGATACCACCCAACCTCTGGTTTCTGTTGACGAGTGCTTCTCCTGTCCTTCTCTGTGCTCAGCATGTATCACATGAGTGTGGCGGTTCTTTTGCAGAGTCCAGTACTGCAGTATCTCTACTACCTTGCTCAGATTCCCATTGCCATGTCTCCTCTTAGCAACAACAGCTTGTTTCTGGAATATTCTAAGAACCCTCTGCGGGAATTCTTGCACAAGGGACTGCACGTTTCTCTCTCTACCGATGACCCCATGCAGTTCCATTACACGAAGGTGAGGATCTTGCAGGAGGGCAGTGGTAATCCCAGCAGGCCTCAATCCTGGCCTGTTCTCCCACTATGAAGACCTGAGCTCATGGCTCAATTTGGCATTTGGGGTAGGATTAGTGGCCCAATGAAGACAAGGGGGTGAGTAGAAGAAGTCTTTTTTTCCCTCAGAACCCTTTTTGGGGTCTTCTGAACTCTTGAAGGCAAATTTCATTTCTGACTTTTTTCATTTTTCCCCTTATTTGATTTTTCTAGTTCTGGGAACTTAGTAAAGTTATTAGACAGCTCTGTATTGTTTGCCTCTTCATCTGGAAAATGAGCATAAAATTGTCTCTATCTTCATTTAAGATAATGAACTAGCATCTAATATAATAGAGTCTAATACATTTTTATAGGTATGTATGCAAACAATGAGGAGCCTGTTAAAACTATTATTATTATACTGTGGATCTCTGGAAAAAGAGAAAGGAAAGGTGATTTCATGCATGGGGACCAGCCACAAATTTCTAGCACATTTTGAGGTGTTGACAAGATTAGCCACTAGTTAGCAAAATAGAATCACCAGAGTCTTCTAGGGCCGAGCTTTTCCAGGCTTTTGTTAGGCAGGCACTCTACCACTTGAGCCACTGCACCAGTATTTTCCCAGGCTTTTGGTCTCTAAACCTTTTTGCATTCTGAAGAGTTGGTGCCCTATAGTTTACATTGATTATATCTATTGATAATTACTGTTAGAAAAAACTTAACTATTTATTAGCTCATTAAAAAATAACATTAATGTTCTTACTGTTATATGAATAGCAACTTTAAATGAAAAGTAACTTTAAAACACTGAGTGGCATTGTTTTCCAATTTTGCAAATCTCCTTAATGTCTTAATAGAATACAGCTGGAATCCCATATCTACTTCTGCATTCGGTTTGTTGATAAAGTACATGAAAAATAATCTTGCCTCCCAAAGAAACATAGTTGGCAAAGGGAGGGCCTTTCAAAAGATCTTTAGGTCCCAGAGGTTTCTGGACCACACTTTTGAGAAACACTGCTCTAGGAGGTAGAGGCAACGGGGTGGGGGTGGGGGTAGGGTAACAGTAATCAAAGGGCTGGTGACTAATGGTAGATATTTCACATCCCAGAAGACAAAGTAGGGCTGTAGCTCAAAACCAATCCTTTTGCAATTACACAATCTCCCTGATTGTACAACTATCATTTCTCATTGTTACGTAATAGTCCGTAACTGCTCTTAGTACTTTATTCACATTAACTTTTACTTGTGGACAATCCTAAGAAAATAGTGTTAAATCAAAAGCAAAGCTGAAGAACAGGTACAAAAATGTGCCTGGACTAGAGGGGGCTGAGCTTTTGTAGGAGGCCACAGACTTGGACTGAGCTCCAATACTGGGCCCAACAGAACAAACTGATACAGGCTTTAATCATCACGCCTCAGCTTTTGTTGGTTACAGGAGGCCCTAGAGCCAATTAAACTGCAAAAAATTAACTAAAGCTGTAACTAATTGACTGGTCGATTGCCTAAACTGTAGCCAATTAAGTTGTTTCTATGCCTTACTGCGGTTTTTCTGTAAGGGCTGTTAAGAGTTCTCAGAACCTGCTCTGGTTCAAGGAGATGCATCATTCATGAGTTGGGTTTTTGTTTTGTTTTGTTTGAATAATTGGAATAAGCAATGTCCATTTTAACAGAATTGGCATCCCTGATTTTTGAACGTGATGGGCTCTCTCAGTCAATAGACAAATACAGAGTTGTGCTAGTATCTCTGCTTACCTGCGATTTCACACAAAAAGATCTTAGGAATTGAATTTAAGGTGTGATCTTGTTTGATTTACGTGTGAGTTGATAAAGAAAAATGAAATCTGTGTGTACATTGTTTTTAGTTTTGGAAATCTGTGAAGTGTTGGAGTAGACGTGCTCCCATCTAATCTGTGCGCTCTGGGGGAGGGTCTAGGAGGCACTCATGGAGGAATACGCCATTGCGGCTCAAGTGTGGAAGCTGAGCACATGCGACCTGTGCGAGATTGCCAGGAACAGCGTGCTGCAGAGTGGCCTCTCACATCAGGTACAGTGTGTGATGGTGCTGCCTTTCCCTCCCACCCTTTGAATAAATGGGCATAGAATGTCTACTGTGTGCTGGCATCTTCCTTCACTGGCATCAGTGAGAATCCTTGGGAGCCATCTCAACTTTCATGGCTGTGCCCTGTTTTCAGACTTGAACTCAATGTCACTTCCTCAGAGAGGCCTTCCCTGGTCACCCATTCTAGAATTCTAGAATCGCCATCATCCTCTGTCGCTTTAATGTTTTTCTTCACATTTATCAGTACTGACATTGTAATATGAACTTCCTTAAGTGTTTTTCCATCTTTCCCTCTAGAATGGAAGCTCTCTGAGGATAAAGGCTTGTTCCAAGTTATATCCCTATGGTCTAGAATAGTCGTGGTACATAGCAGGCACTCAGGCACCGGTACTTTTTGTGTGCTCCCTGAATGATTCTCATCAGGGAGAACCATGCCCTGGATGCTCCCTGGGTACTTTCCCTGGGGATGTCACTGGTACAGGAAGAGGCCACATTAGGTGCTGCTCTTGTGGATGATGATGCAGGGAAGAGCTAGAGGCTCAAGTTTCTGTGTGGAATTGTTCCTGAGATTGGACCTCCAGAGAAACACGAGACTGACTGCCCTTGTCACCTCTCAGGAGGGAAAAGTCAACACCTTTGCCTCACCTCCACCCACTAAGGCTCTTATAATTCTTTGTCCTTAATGCTCATTTGAGGAGCTGCTTTAGGGGACTAGTCTGCATGCTGGGGCTGATGTCAAAGCTGCCTGTGTGGACACAGAAGGGAGACTAAGGTATACTGTTTCATTTGTATTTCTCTCGGTCCACAGGAAAAGCAAAAGTTTTTGGGAGAGAATTATTATAAAGAAGGACCTGAAGGAAATGATATTCGAAAGACAAACGTTGCCCAGATCCGGATGGCTTTCCGATATGAGACCTTATGCAATGAGCTCAGCTTCCTGTCTGATGCCATGAAATCAGAGGAGATCACAGCCCTGACCAAATAGGTCCAGCACTCAACATGCACCTTCACTTTTGGTTTACTTCAGGTCTGCTGGGCCTAGCAGTGGTCAAGATACCAAACTAGGACTTTCCTCTATGAAGAGGAGGCCTCTGAAGAAATTTCATACTCATCATTTTGGTTGCACTCTTCACTTTAATATCGAACATGCTCACCTGTGTTAGTATTTCTGAGAGAGAGATGGTGACTTCTCCAGGATATAGGATATGGCACTTGTCTGCACTTGTCCTAATTTTCCACCTATTTTGCTTGTAACCACCTGTGTTTGAATTGTTGGGGCCAGGATTTTCCAAGGCCATATGCCAAGTGACATGAGGTCCGTGAGGTTTCTTGCTACACCACTCTGCAGGCTAATTGGTAGTTGTTCATTTCAGTCTCTGGCTGGCTCGCTGCCTTAAACAAAATCAACTTCAAAGTTGCCTTTCAGAAAGGGGCTATTTTGAGACAAGACAGAAGACTCCCTTTTTGACAATTTGTGTTTATTTTAAATGAATTTCTTAACCTCTTTAATTTAGCCATCCATCATCCTTTCTAGTTAGGAAGCCAAATGTACTCACTAACACAGTCACTCCTGTTCTGTCTTGGTTTCCATATCTAGGAGGTGAGGGTATTCAAATACATTCTATGAATCCTCCTCATGGATCAGTGTTGGGGAAGAAATATGGTAGCAAGGTTCTAGGGGCTCAGTGGTTTCTTCAGTCTTACATGGGGACTGTTAAAACATAAGATTTTCACTTGGACAAGGGTCTGTGAAAAGCAGAGGACCAGATGATCTCTGTTCCTTTTGGCACTAATATCCTATAATTGTAGCCCAAATATTTTACCCACAATAAGGTCATACAACTCATGATTAGAACAAGGAGGCCTTGTTCCTAATTCAGTCCTTTCCTCACTATTCCACTAGGCCTCACGAATATTAGATTTTTTAAAAATCCCTGTAACATTGTGCGTTTTATGTTAAAAGCAACATTTCTCCCTTACCTCATATGAACATTTCCTCAGAAGATATAGTGTGCCAGGGCCAGGTAGAAAGCATTCTTGAAGACTAATCTGAGTTAAGCTTTATCAATGTATTCTTCATCTTCATCTGTGTTACTAGTGCCTGGTAAATAGTAGGTGCTAAATTACGCCATATAGAAAAACTGAATGAATTTTTCTTTTGGCAACTATGTGTTCTGATGACTCAACAAGCTGTTCAAAGACCTTCTGATCTATTTATAGACAAATTCAGATGCTGGGAAATCCTCTTGAATTATTATAAAGTTAGAACCCCGTTTCTGCCTAGAAACTATGCTTATTTGACTTTAGATTGTCTTGTCCTGTGACTGTCATGCCTGCCCCTCCACTGGTCAACTGAACATATGGAACTATAAATGTCATCTTTTCACTAGCCAACTGTACATGCTGTCTTCTATAGCTAATTATAAAGTTGAATGAAAACCTGTATCTTAGGGACTCATTATTTTTGAAAAGACTCCATTTGTATACATTTGCCCTAATATAAAAATTACTGTACAGTTTTCATTGTCATTTTACCTGTATCAAGTATTTTTTTAAAATTATTAAATAAATCCTGATAGGACGGTGTCTCAATAATTTAAAACTATTTACATTTAATATCTAAAGCCAGTGTTTTTTACTTTGAAAAGCTATCAATAGCTGCTAATTTATCTTTTATTAAGACTGATAAATGGAAGTTCATAGGAAAACTCAGAATTTTCAAACTGAAGCTGACTAGATGCCCAGAAGATAGTTGCTATCATTTTCTCTAATTTCTGTCTTGGTGATAATTCATCATCAAAGCCATACTTCTTTATCTTTTTCCTTTCCTTTGTGTTTGCAGTTGGAATCAAAGGCAACTGTATACTGGCCTAAGTCTATAAAAGAATGGTTTTTGAGGCACTGTTATTTATTTTACCTACTCCAAATGGCTTAGGTTCACTTTGTGTGTTACTTCAAACTGTAGTATTGAAAACAATCAACACCATTGTTTTTTGCCTTGTGAACATAGATCACAACTTTTGGGTTGATATTTTATCAAAGCCTGTTCCTGGGCCTTTACCGTCTCTTGGATTAGAGTTGAAAGCACATCCTTCTAGCTTTCTCTACTTGTTCCTGAGTAGTGTCCTGATGGAACATTATTTCTATTTTCCTGAGTTTGTAGACACAAATGAAAATGATATATTGGGATATACTTAAATGTTCTGTCTCTGAGCTGAGACTGTTATAAAGATTAAATGTAACTAATTCCAATAAAAGAAACACAAATCATAAATAGTTTCTTGGAAATTTTTGCACACTCAACCTCTGAAAAATATTGGCAAGGGAATGACAGTAAGACTATAACTGCCTGATTATCAAAGTATATCTGAGGAAGCTTTGTTGTCTTTTGATACCAAAATGTGTATTTCTCCCCAGCATGACGATATATACCAGTAAATTTAATTCTAAGCTGCATTTCCTCTCCTCTTCTCAGCACTAAGATTCTTTTTTATTTTATTGTTTTATTATTCATATGTGCATACAAGGCTTGGGTCATTTCTCCCCCCTGCCCCCACCCCCTCCCTTACCACCCACTCCGCCCCCTCCCTCTCCCCCCAACCCCCTCAATACCCAGCATAAATTATCTTGCCCTTATCTCTAATTTTGTTGAAGAGAGAGTATAAGCAATAATAGGAAGGAACAAGTGTTCCTGGTTGAGATAAGGATAGCTATACAGGGCATTGACTCACATTGATTTCCTGTGTGTGTGTGTGTGTTACCTTCTAGGTTAATTCTTTTTGATCTAACCTTTTCTCTAGTACCTGGTCCCCTTTTCCTATTGGCCTCAGTTGCTTTTAAGGTATCTGCTTTAGTTTCTCTGCATTAAGGGCAACAAATGCTAGCTAATTTTTTAGGTGTCTTACCTATCCTCACCCCTTCCTTGTAGCACTAAGATTCTAAGATGCTGCTCTGATTAGTCTTATGTCTTAGAAATGGCTTTATAAGGTAAACAAACTACCACAGGGTGGAGCATTTTTATCTATTATTTTTACTGCCAAGTAGTGTAAGAAGACGTGGTGAAAGCAAATGAAAGTCTATTGTAGACAGTGTATATTATAGAGTCATTCTGTGGGTCCATCAGCTGACTTCCCAAATCTCCAAGTAGTTTTTTTTTTTTTTCTTTTTTCTCCTCCTTTTTTTGGTGGTACTGGAGATTGAACCAGGGAAGCACTCTTTCTTAAGCCATGCCCCCAGCCCTTCCAAGGAGCAAGCTTTCTTACTGTTGAAAAGACAAAGTAAGTTTCAGTTAAGGAAAAATGAAACCCGTAAACTCCAAAACAAAGCAGTTAAATAAAGATGCAAATTCTTCAGACTGCCTTTTAATGACCCCAGCTTCCCAATGTTAAAAATCACTGACAAAAAGTATTTCCAAGCAGTCTATTATCAATACATACACATTATATTGAAAATTAAGTCCACCTTGAAATAATCTCAAAACACAGCACACAAACATCACAAGTCCCTGGAGGACAATATAAAATAATCCTCTACAGAATAAAAATATTTAGTATATAAGAATGTAAAATTAGGTAAGAAAAAGAATCTGTTCAATTAGCTAAAATTTACTTGCTAAAGATTATCTATTGAACAATATATCAGTTTCTCCTAAGAACAAAAGAAATACTACTATTCTCAACCTCTAAATTCAGTTACATACTGAAACTTATTTTCTCAAGCTAAAGTTCTACAGCATTGTGAGTAAAACATTTGTTACTAAGTGAGGACATGGAAAACTGTATAACTTACAAAACAAATTCCTTAGGGCACATGAGAACATTTCACAAATCCTAGAAGGCACACATTTCCTATTGTAGTAAGTGCATTTAAGTACTTCATATTTAAAAAAGACAAAGCTGTACAGAATAGAAAAGCATATTAAATAAATTTACAACTTTTATGCTTAGATATTATAGTAGAACCTACCTAACATTCACATTTAAAGAATTACACCCAGTTTAATGAAATGAGCGAAGAGCTGTGTTCAGTTGGTAAGGATAACAAAAACACTGCATGATTCACAGTAGATCAGTTAGTATCCTGGAGCTTATATTGTTAGATAAAAGGGTGTGGGCAGTATCAAGCCACAGAACTTACTGTTTAATAATCCCTTCAAAAGGTAAAGGATTCTGGGGGATAAAAAAATTGGCTATGCCTGGAAAGATCGCAAAACCCATAACCCCATTTTGTTTATTTTCAGAGACATTCTAAAGTTAGGCAATCTGAATTAAACTCAGCAGTCTAATCCAAAAGGACAATTGAAATTTTTAGAGTTGGAAAACATCTCAGAGGATCACTTATCACAAGGTTTTCAAAGTATGTTCCATGGAATACTAAGAATCAATGGTGATTAGGGATATGCAAATTTGACTTGAATTAACTTTTATAGGACAAAAAAAATGAAAAAAAAAAAAAAAGACGTCCCATTACACGAATTTGTTATTCACCAAATTCTAATATACTGCACACAACCAGTGCATTATTATACATTTTCATTGGTTGGCTTAGTATTTTTTCATTATAGAATAAAAAGTTTATATAAGGAAATTTATATTAATAAAATATGACATATATGGGGTGGGGTGTATGCATGTATTCATGTGTATAAGGGTTCCAGAAATTTACTTGGAAAAAAGGTTCCACTGCTGAGATGCAAACTTAACATACAAGAGTGAAAGACTGTCTTAAGGTCACAAAACCATCAAGTGCATTGCCAGGTTGATTATGATAGAGCCCAAGACTGCTTGCATAGATGCCCAACAGTGAGTATTTAGCTACGTGGTATTTAATTGTCCCTATCACAAATGTCAATAGATTAGACTTCAGTATTTTGTGGGGAAAATCAAGTCACCTTAGTCATATATTTTTCCTTGAAATGGATTTTTTTTGCATGTGTTATAATATTAATATCGCTCAATTTTGTCATCAATAAGTGGCATCTTAAATCATGTACCCTGGTACTTAGGAAAATAGTAATATTTGCAAGTTACCAATAATAGGTCAGAAAATTTAAGGAGTATTAAAATATTTTTAAAGGAGATTTCATACCCTGTAGTTTTATTATATGCTAGAATGTTAATGTTAAAATTTTTACTTCATAAGCAAAATCTAAAAAATGTCTGAAGTGCTGTGGGAGGTCATAACTTCATTACTGCTATACTCTTTTTGAGATAGTTGAAAGAAGTGCAGTGGAACAGAGGATACCAGATTATCTGCGAGTTTTTAGGGTGCTCCACATGCATATGGTGAGAAAGCCTTACTTTATTTCCTTCTCTCTTAACCGAAGAAATACAAGGAACTTGAAACCTTAGAAAGATGCCCTGATGTTAAAATAAATCACCAAAACCCAATACTGGATGACTTATCATCTGGAAATATAAAATTCAGTATTTGTGATGGAAGAAAATTTCCTTCTGGAAACTCCCAAGATGTGCAAGTATTATCAAAAACTAATTTAAACAGTCATTCAGCTTTGGGAGAGCAGTTTTAGAACACTGAGGAGATTCTGCAGCAGAAATCCCATCACCAGGCAAAGTTCCAACTTTATGGTCCTTATGCAAATTATACAGCATGGAAAAAAAGACTTAAGTAAAAAATATGTAGTTCCAAAACACGGCACTGAAGTTATATAAAGTTATGAAAGAAGTGTGCATTATTTCAAGTAAAAATTACTAAAGGAGCAATAATTAACCACAAGGGGGCATAATACATACTCCTTAGATTCCAGCAGAAAGACTAGTTTTAAGTAGTAACATGCACCTTGATGTAGCCTATGTTTTTAGTCAGTTAAATTTTTCTCTCTGATGGCTACAACTTTTCAACATTCAAAATCTATTTTTTTATTTTTTGGTGGTAGTGAGGTTTGAACTCAGGGCATTTTGTGCTTGCCAGGCAGGTGCTTTACCACTTTAGCCATGCTTCCAGTCCATTTTGCTCTTGGTATTTTGGTAATAGGGTCTTGCTTTTTGCTCAGGCCACCTGGACTGTGACCCTCCTATTTTATGCTTCTCACCATTGCTGGGATGACAGGCATGCACCACACACCAACCTTTTTCTGCTGAGATGGGATCTCACAAACTTTTTTTGCCTGGCTGGACTGGAATTATGATCCTCCTGATCTCAGCCTCCCACATAGCTTGGGGTGACAGGTGCATATTACCATGACCAGTTAATAGTTGAGATGAGGTCTTGCAAACATTTTACATAGGCTGGCCTAGAACCACAATTCTCCCAATTTTAGCTTCCCAAGTGGCTAGGATTACAGGTGTGAGCTACCAGCCCTGGCTCAGAATTTATTTTAAGCCTACTTAAAAAGATGCTGTAATACTCCTGCCCTGAAAAACAGTACTGTGTCAAAAGCCTCTGGAAATATTGCTATTATCTACTAGCAAGACTCAAGAGCAATTAGTTCTAATAAACATTAGAACAGATAAATAATATGAAAATATCTAAAACAGTAGCAAATTTTAGTTTACCATATATGGAAGACATGGGAAGTTTATTTTTGAAAAATGGAGCATACTGTCAAGAGTACCAAAAATAAGAGGGTGGGAAAATTGATTTTTCTGTATCTGTGCCATAATGTTCCTCCATTCTTCCTCCATGACCACAATATTATTTATAGCCCACAACAGCAAAAGAAACTCTTCCTTGATAGTCATGGCCTGTGAGGCTGGCCAGCCTCATCAGCCATGTTAAGAATATAGTTAGCCATATCATCTTCAGTGGGTGCATCCGACACTACCCAAGATTCATTTGCTCCCGTCATCTGTAGGCGACAAATGGGGCAATTCCTGTGTCGATCACTCCTGTTAGGGAAGTCAAAATAAAAACAGTTTTTTTCCCTCTTTTTTAAAAACAAGGGTTTGTTTGAAAAGTATGTACATGGTTTTAAAAAAAATGTAAGCAGCATAAAAGTATATGGTGAAAAATAAAGCTCTCTCCCGCATCCCAATCATTAATTCTTTTCCTCAGGGACAACCAGTTTCTTACACATATATTTCTCTAGAGGTAGAGTAAACATGATGAAGCTTGTATGTATGTGAATGGTGTATATCTTGCTGATCTTTATACTGTCCATATATCTTTTAGACCAGTATGTATTGGCACATGCTAAGAGTTTATTTTTTTTCTGAGACATCACTATGCAACCCAGGCTGGCCTCAAACCCTCAATCTTCCTGCCACAGCTTTCTGAGTGCTGGGATTTACAGGCATGTG